GATTATATTAACTGTCAAGGTCATAAATATTTACAGATTTGTCATCATTGACTTTGTAATGTTTGTGTGTACTTTAAAAAACTGTAGGTATTTACGATTTGTCATCAGCCAAGGATAAACTGTTCCATGCGTATAATCACGTACGCAATTCGGTTAACTTCCATTTGAAATATAGAGAAAATAATGGCGGGAAATACCCGAACTTCTATGGCAACCAATGAATCACGAGTAATATAATAAAATAATATTTTTTACCAAATATTTCTTCGATGAGAAAAATACTCAAATCGAAACCTCAGTGGTATAAAAAAAATGTAACTTTTTTTTATACCACTGAGGTGGCAAACAAGCATACGGCCCACCTGATGGTAAGCGGTTACCGTAGCCTATGAACGCCTGCAATACCAAAGGTATTACGCGCGCGTTGCCGACCCTGAAGAAACCTCTAATTACTTTAAACTCAAGCGACGGACGATATGTATTAAGTCAGTCGTTCCTCTGTTTTATGTTAAAGTTTCATCCCAATCATCTGGACGAGTGGCGGTCTTCCACTGTGCGTTTTTCAAGGCACTTTCTTCCAGGCACAACCACTCTTTGGAATCAACTTCCAGCAGCAGTATTTCCGAACCGATACGACAACATAACCTTCAAGAAAAGAGCATATTCCTTTTTAAAAGGCCGGCAACATACCTGTAATGCCGTTAGTGTTAGTTACCATCAGGTGTTGTAAAAACCAAAAATGCACGTACCGCCATTTGTATGTTCCCGTCTACAATATAATAATATAATTAGTTTCAGTTAGCTGTAATCTTATTTAAGTGCATATTTGTATTGTTTTGTAAAATAAATATCTTAAATCGTACCATGATACACATATTACCCACGTCTATTCACAAGACCGATTAGTTCTGGTAACACTTTTTTTTTGTACTACTTAGATTGGCAAACAAGCTGATGGCCCACCTGATGGAAAGTGGTTACCGTCGCCTATAGACATGAGCAGTATCATGGACATAACAGAGTATACTGTTTCGCCCATGATACCCCCCATGCGTTCCATTCCAACCCAAGCAATCGACTTTTGTAAAAAGTCTCCCTCTGGTTTTGTTCGCATTAAATCTGAGCACAAGACATGAATATTAGCACGTTTCACAAATGTAACCGCAAATATCGAGTTGTGTCCGCCGCGTCGAATGTAAACGCATAAACAAATTCATTGGGAACAATCATGTGCCAACGTTTATTACGGTTTAAACAATACTATTAATATCCGAACAATTTATTCTCGTATATAGTTTATTATGTAATAATTTTATTGTAATTGTTTTGCGACATATAGTAGTTTTTTTTTTTTTTGTTTTTATTTCTATATAAATCGTCATCATGTAAACTTTATATATTATTCCAGAGATTGGTGCGTTTAAACCAAAAATTTTTTTCGTTTCCCCTCTAACCAAGGTTGTCTACAAGAGCTACTTTTAGCCATAAGACTGACTTTTGTATTTCATAAGGACAATATATATATATATATATATATATATATATATATATATATATATATATATATATATATATATATATATATATATATATATATATATATATATATATATATATATATATATATATATATATATATATATATATATATATATATATATATATATATATATATATAAAGCAGTTGTGCATGGCTGTGTTTCAGTTTGAAGGGTGGCGATATGGCGTGAATTTACAGAGTACAGAAGAATAACATTTGAGTCTTCAGGAATGGCAACGCATGGGGGCATTATGGGCGAAACAGTATACTCTGTTATGTCCATGGTACTGCTCATGTCTATAGGCAACGGTTACCACTTTCCATCAGATGGGCTGTCAGCTTGTTTACCATTCTAAGTAGCATAAAAAAATGATTCGATTAACCATAATTTTAACCTATAAATAATAACAAACCAATGGGATTATAAACATTGTTGAATGAAAATGGCATGGTAACCCCATAAAATGGTATGGTGAAGGGTGATAGATGAGAATGAAAACAGGCCAGTTAGCCCATCATGATGAATTCATCAGGAATTAACCATGATAGTTTCCAGAGGGAATCGCAGGGAGATCGACCTGGTTGGGTATGTTGCTAGCAATGGGTGATTTTGCTAATAGTTGCCACGCTTGGCAGACGGTACGATATCCGCAGTTAGGCTTTGGTGATGTTTTAAGTTTGGTGAATTATCTTTATGTAAATTAGTTTTTTTAAACACCAGCAGGCGCCTTCACGTGCCCTCCATGTCACGGACACTCATCTTTACATATCTAACATATTGTAGCTGTTCAGCTGTTTAACCTTGTCATACTGAGTAGGTATGCAGTGCTTCCTTGAGAATTTATTTATTATTTATAAAAAATAAATCTACATCTCATATATTACTAAAACTTTATAGGGGGGAAAGGGGTTGTTAGCAATGGAGTTTGACAACCCCATTACCAGCAATATGCTCTATTAGGTCGACCTCCATGTGGTTCCCCCTGGAAACCATCGTGAACAATTCTCGTTGAATTCGTCACGATGGGCTAACTGACCTGCTTCATCTTCACCTATCATCCTTCACTGGTGCCCCGCCGGTGTATACCGATAGCGCGGGTGGGGTTACCATTCCATTATCACCCACTAAAAAAAAACTAAAACTTTATAACAGAGTTAATATTAAAAAAAAAACATATATAAGGCGAATTGAAAAACCTCCTTTTTTGAAGTCGGTTAAAAAATGAAAGCTTCATCTTCATTTTTTTTTTTGTTACGAGATATCTTTGAAAATTTATATTCATTTTGTAACGATGTCTGCATATATGTAAGTGTACTGTTGAGTGGTCCCGGCATAGAATGGGCCTCCCCCATCCTTTCCCGTGGGTGTCGTAAGAGGCGACTAAAGCAACTCAATGATCGAGGGATGGACAGCAGCATCCCTCTTAAAACATCACCAAAAGCCTAATTACAATTGCCAGTACCACGCACAGTTACCACGCTTGACAGGCAGGTTGGCAACCAGTGGCGTAACAATAGGGTTGCAAGGCTGGCAAAATGCCACGGGCCCCCGACCCAAAAGGGCCCCGGCTCAAGAGGTGGTCAAATGGTACAGTTACGCCACTGTTGGCAACCGCAGTTCGCCTTTGGTGATACTTCGATAACAACGCTGCTGTCCATCCTTCGACTATTAAGTATAGACATCTTTAATGTGACACGAAAAATATTCAACAAAATCGAAATCAGCATTGATATTATGCAAACACTAGCTTTTACCCGCGACTTCGTCCATGTAGGCAGAATATACTTTCAAACCGGGATAAAAAGTAGCCTATATTCTTCTTTATACTACAAATACTAAAAAAGGGGGAAAGGTATTGTTTGTAATGGAGACTGAGAATCCCATTGCTAGCAGTATACCCAACCAGGTCGACCTCCTCGCGGTTCTCCCTGGAAACTATCATGGTTAATTCCTGATGAATTCATCACGATGGGCTAACTGGCCTGTTTTCATTCTCATCTATCACCCTTCACTGGTGCTCCGCCAGCGTATCCCGTTAGCGCAGGCGGGGATACCATACCATTTTCACACATAAAGAAAACACATTCACAATTAAAAATATTAGTAAGGACTGTAATTAGATAGATAATAAACTAAAAAAAGGTATAGGCATTGACCATGACGCATTGAAATACAAGTTGGTGTAGGTAAGTGACGCGTCGCTAGTAATTATGACGAAATAATGGCAATTCTGAAGTAACATTCTTTTAATTTATGCCTAAAATTATAATTTTAAATTATTATTATAAATAGTTTGTTGTTTAAAACTTTATAGTATACGGGTGGATAATATATATATATGTATATTAGTTACAATATCTATATATATTTTTTATACAACTTAGAATGGCAAACAAGCTGACGGCCCACCTGATGGAAAGTGGTAACAGTCGCCTATAGACATGAGCAGTACCACGGACATAACAGAGTATACTGTTTCGCCCATGATACCCCCCATGCGTTGCCACTTCTGAAGACTCAGATGTTATTCCTCTGTATCCTGTAAATTCACGCCATATCCCACCCTTCAAACCGAAACACAGCCATGCAAATACAACTTCTTCACGGTTGAAACACGAATGGGACAGAGGCACCCAAGCAATCGACTTTTGTACAAAGTCTCCCTCTAGTTAAATATATTGATCCAATAACGAATATGTTAAAAGTCTATTAATCCAAAAAAAAAAAAAAATATTGGATAACAGAGTTTTAATATATTCGGAAACGTATAGATATCTGACCGATATCGAAATGGGTGATGACCTTTTATCAGCCACCAGTGTCCAGATCAACCAAATAACGGATCAATATTCATGTCTATTATTGTATAATCTATATAGAATTAAATGTGAAGCAATTCTGATAAGATTCTACTAAAAAAATTACTTTATTCTAGCTCTTAATTTAATTATTTGTTACGCTATATCTTTTTTTTATTATTTCAAAGCTGGAGAGAGTTACTTCAGAATGTATTGCATTGTTTGGTTTGACCAACTAGGTATTTATATATATTTTTTTTATGGGTAAAAATGGTATGGTGACCCCGCCTGCGCTAACGGGATACGCTGGCGGAGCACCAGTGAAGGGTGATAGATGAGAATGAAAACAGGCCAGTTAGCTCATCATGATGAATTCATCAGGAATTAACCATGATAGTTTCCAGGGGGAACCGCGAGGAGGTCGACTTGGTTGGGTATATTGCTAGCAATGGGATTCTCAGTCTCCATTACTAACAATCCCTTTCCCCTCATTTATACCTTTATATGTATATTTTATTCTGTATTTCATGCAACTGTATTTCAGTTCAATTATTTATAATGTCATTGTTTACTTTTATGTTTTCGGTGCAATAAAGTGTTAAATAAATAAATATATTAGTATTTAAATACTATGTTATGGAATGTTAAATAAAAGAGGGCATACTTTCAAAAAGCTCTGTATTTATCCATTAGGTACATAATATAAAACTTTCAGATCAAACACTACATGTTGCATGCAACATGATATTGTGAACATGTAATACGTTTATGAAATTGCATAAACAAAGCAGACAGTAATACATTTCGATTGAACTCTATTCATTATACCAATATCATAACAGTAAACTATGATATGGCAGTCTGATAAATTATTTAGTTTTATTTTAAGGAACTTTGTTTTAAAATATAAATTATAAAAGTACACATACTCGGCGTATCCACATGTCGCACAGGGCCCGACCTAAGGGGGCCGCCGCCGGGCAAATGCCCAGCGGGGCAAAATAAGTTCACTGTTGAAATAGTAACTCATTAGATATTAAAAGGCCGCAAATATTTTCCCCGGTAAAATACTTAGATCGGGCAATGGCTTCACACATCATTCGAGCTCTCTATAATTCTCCAGCATTCCTCAATTCACATTATAACAGACTTAGTCAAATTTGGTTCAGTTTTACTGATATTATCTAAATATATAACTATAATATATGTATAATACTATTCATAAAGCTGGTCCTTTTTAAACGGCATTTTGATATACCTAATTTAACATCGTAGTTACTCTGTACCATTATTTAACTATACATTTTGATATAGGTCTTAATATCGACAGTTGTCATCATAAAATTTAAATAAATCGCAAATACTGTTTTGAATATTTAAACGGATATCTAATCTGGGTGGAATTCGTTATACTGCAACGTGCAATGGTGCCAAACACATTGTTTGTTCTCGAAACAGTTGTTCACATAGATCGAAACGAATACAACAAGACCATTTAAAATAAATAACATCACGACTTACAAATAACAAATCACAGATACGATTCACAAACTGCCACTGGCTACCCTAGCGACCGCTCGGGCGCCGGGCTCGACTCCGGCGACGCGTACTCCGAGCCGCGCGCAGACGGACCCGGCCGTCCGCACTGCGGTCGAACTTAAACTAACGCAGTCTCGAACCCACTCAACAACCTAATACTGACAACCTGATGAGTTACATGCGGTGAGGTGAGCATCGAACGGATACACTGGTTAGGTCCCGGCCGGTCGGGCGGCACTCACGGTACTCAGCTGGTCCGGTCCGCGGGGCCCGCGCCGCGGTCACAGGTACGGCACGCAGGCGGCGCAGCGCGATCGCTCGGGGCTGGCGGCGCGCGTCCTGCACACAAGCACCCGTCAGCGGCCGCTCACGAGCTTCGCTCCTCGCGCCGCGCCTCCGACCGGCCCAGCGCGCGCTTCAGCTTCTCCACCAACCTGCTGTGGAACTTGTCCGAGTCGCGGGGGTCGCGCGGCCGCGGCGCGCTAGCCGGGCCCCGGGGGCCCCGGGGGCTGTGGGGGCCCTCGGCCGCCCGCAGCGAGGCGCGCGACGGCGGCGCGCGGCAGTACGACAGCGAGCGCATGGCGGGCGCGCTGCGGTGCGGACTGAGGGCGGCGCGCGGGCCCCCGGGGCCCCCGGTACCCCCGGGGCCCTCGGACCGCGACTCGGACACCTTGCGCACGCGGCCGCCGGGGCCCGCCTTGTCCCCCGCCTCGGTGCTCCGCCGCGAGTTGTATATGTCCCAGTCGTTCTTCACTACGGGCATCATGAACGCCATCTCGATGGCGGCGACCGTGACTCTTGAGCTTTAACGTGTTTGATGAAGTACCGGCTGCGCCGAGGTGAAGACGGTGGCTCCGTTCTCGGAAAATAATTCGCCGGTCGATATTAATAAAACTCTTCGTTTCGATATTAGCTTTCACGAGATAGTTTTCCGTTTTTTTTTTTTTAGATTTTTTTATTGTAAGAAATATGTAAATGTTGATATTTTTGCATACAATTTAAGACACAGTTGAGGAAATGTCAACTTTCACCTCAATGTCACTGGCACTGAACCGATTAGGATAGGATGTTCACCCTAGGACGAATTGCGGTAGAATGAAGTATTCGTGAAAACACACCCTGAATATAAGGAAAATATTGGCGCCACTGTCGCTGTGGCCGTTAACGAAAACTTTGCACATTAATATTTTCTAATGTTGTTATTCTTGGAAGTAATCATACACATTAATTTAGCTAATTATCATTACGCTTAATAACTTTTTATTAGAAATTGATAACAATAATAGTGTTTTAAATAATAAAAGAGCGGAAAAATAGATTTAATACGACTATTTAATAATAGCTACTCAATTATAGATGGCGTTATTATATCATAATGTTGCCACTATACAATAGATGGCAGAATGTTCTTTGTCAAAATATATCTAAAAGCACGCTTCGGAAACATGCTTTCACGAAACTTAAATTTGATAGAGGGCGCAGAAATATTAATATATATATATATATATATATAATTTAAATTACATTATTGAATTTGTATTCTTTTTAATCAATTTTAAAAATGTTTGAGTTACTCAATAAAAAGAAATTTAAGACTGTTTTTGTATGTGTATTTTAAACCGATTTTGATTGTTCTTTATTATCGATAGGGTTAAAATCTATTTTTGTTCTCGCCTTTAACTAGCATTATTGTGCTATAATTATTAATATATATCTAAGTATTTTTTTTTTTTTGATGGGTGTATTTTAAACGGGATACGCTGGCGGAGCACCAGTGAAGGGTGATAGATGAGAATGAAAACATCTAGTTGGCCCATCATGATGAATTCATCAGGAATTAACCATGATAGTTTCCAGGGGGAACCGCGTGGAGGTCGACCTGGTTGGGTATATTGTTAGCAATGGGATTCTCAGTCTCTATTACTAACAATCCCTTTCCCCCCTATATCTAAGTTTTAGGTACATATTTAACATATATGCATGGGATTATATAATTTTGTTTGATTGATATATATATATATATATATATATATATATATATATATATATATATATATATATAATATATATATATATATATAATTATTTTTTTTTATTATACAGTTCTATCATACCTACTTGTACGACAATTAGTCCATTACCTTAAGGTTGTCTTGAAAACATTGCTCTCAGCAATAAGACCGCCTTACTGTACTTATACAATTGTATCGTTGTGTTTGTAAGTTGCCTTGCATATTTCCTATATTGAATAATGCAAATAAAGTATACTCATTCATTCATTATTCATAATAATTAATCGTTATGACCATCATAGAGTGCCTGCTATTACTCGTAGAAAGACATTACTATCGCGTTGTTTTGTTATTGCGTTATTCTACCGAATTCGTAGTTACCGAAAAAATCCGCTAGAGGCGCTTTAAGACAAAAAAAATCGACGTAAGTCAATGGTAAAAATAATTAACCGCTATTAGGTTTACTTTAATAAAACTACAAATGCAAATTAAGAATATATTTTTACAATCATTAATCATATTAGTTAACAATAAATTACATTCATAACATATATTTTTAATTTAGCTAAAAAAAGAACATTCCTCTCAGGGATACAATACGTATTAATACATAATATAATACTATACTAGTACTGTTAACGTGCAAATAATTAAACAATTATATCACTTTACAAATACACTAATGGGAAATAATATCACATTAACTTGCAATTAAAGGCATATTCCGTACATAATAAAGATCATTTTAAATTAAACAATTATGACTATAATGAGTATTTAAGGAACAATTAAGAGAGTCTATAATTATTTTATCATCATTAACTTACGGAGGTATGGCAACGTCGTAATTATCAGTCAATTTTTTAAAAAAAATTAACAATTTTCAATATTTAACTATTTTTTATATACTTTTAAAATTGACAGATTAATTTAATGTTACCACAGTTCGGTAAACTGATTTTTTATGCAACTTAGAATGGCAAACAAGCTGACGGTCCACCTGATGGAAAGTGGTAACCGTCGCCTATAGACATGAGCAGTACCATGGACATAACAGAGTATACTGTTTCGCCCATGATACCCCCCATGCGTTGCCATTCCTGAGGACTCAGGTGTTATTCCTCTGTATCCTGTAAATACACTACCATATTACACCCTTCAAACCGAAATACATGGCTGTGTTTCGGTTTGAAGGGCAAACGCAACTGCTTCATGGTAGAACCACGAATGGGACAGAGAAGCAAGCAGTCGACATTTATACAAAGTGAATGTTGTAGATACAGGGTTAACACCAGACTTTCACAAAAATTGTTTTAAATTGTAACCTATATGTCAATGTGCTGTAAATTTTATTATGTTGTTATTTTGTGAGAGAAATAAATATATATTTACATTACATTGCATTACATGGACGCTCTTTAAAAAATCTCTCAGTAATTATCATAGGCATATTTAAAGGGCGAATGGGTGGGCCGTACCCACCCCATAATTATCTGGTACCCACTTCAAAATGCAAGCAAAACGTTTCTGCAAATGACATATGTATATAAGTCCTATACCTTTTTTATGGGGCTGCACTGCCACCTGAAAAAGTATCTTAAATATTCCTGTGGTAATTATAGAGTCATATCTACATGATTTATTCTATAATTTCAACATATTGCATCACGATTCCACTAAATCAGACCCATTGTTTAAGGATTTTTTTTAGATACCACTGTGGTGGCAAACAAGCATACGGCCTGACTAACCTGACCTAAGGTAGGGCAAAAGAACTTTTTGATAGGGCATAAGCCATAATTATGTGACTTCGATAAAGCGAATCAAATTTTCTTTTTCGAAGTCACTTAGTTAGCCTTTCATTTTAGGGGCATTGGGCGTTTTAAGGTAGGACGTTGCCCCTCAATATCCCCCCCCCCCCCCCCCCAACTATGGCTATGCACTAAATATACATATACATCTACCATTTGTACAAGGAGAAATTGAAACAAATATAAGTATTAGCTATTGAGTATTCTACCGCCCCGCCCCATAGACAAAGGACAAACGAATCTATCAATATCGATTGTAGCTTAGTAGCTTTTTTATCTTTTTATCCATACGAAGGTTGTGATAGTCGTTTTAAACGTATAAAGACGTCGTCTCGACTAGTGCTTATAAACGTCTTTAGAGGGAGATCGGATGGACCGTGCCCATTCCAGAATTGGTTGATACCCACCCCAAGATGCCATCGAAGTTTCACAAAGACTTGTTTGAGGATACAAATAAGGCTTTGTAACCCCTTACACACTACACTTTATATACATTGATATTCGTGTTAAATCATCGTTATTCCTGTTTTCACGAATCGTTAATAATAACGAACCGTCAACGGATGTGAGAACGGACCGTAAATCTTCATTTCGCATATCCTTTATGACGCATTTAATGATTTAACTGTAGTATTGTGTTCGTCCTTCGATTTATCCGGCTCGTAGTACCCATTCAAATTGACCATGGTCAATAATTCTACTAGATGGCGCTGGTAACCGCACTCCATGAGTTTGGTGACCACTTTGTGCAGATATTTAGCTAGTTTCTCGAACAAATGAAACAATTCCTGGAGCTGGGCGTAGCTGGTATGTGTGAAGTTGCCGTCGGCCTCCCTCTGGTGCCATTCACTGGATACAAAATGGAAATAAATTAAAATAGCTACTTAGAACAGAGTAAAAGTTCTTCATGTTAAGAAATATTGGCAAATCATAATTATTAAATTAACTATCAATGAGACAGAGTTATATTTCTTTTATACCAACAACACTGACATGACATTTTTATTTTAATAATTAAAGATGCTTGTCCCTATCTATCTATCGTATTTAAGAGCTACGCTCTTGTCGGTGGAGCTCTTGCCACTCACTACGATTTTCAGCGAGTCTCTTCACCTCTTGATACGACACGACACCAACTCCTTCCTTGATATGCCTGATGTAACTATGTCTCGGTCTCCCTCTCCCCCTCCTTCCTTCTATCTTACCTTCTATTATAATGTTCATAAGTTCGTCGTGTCGTATCAAGTGTCCCAACATTTTTCCCCTTCTGTCCTCAATAGTTCTAATAATTTGTCTTTTTTCCTTAACCCTAAGCATTAAAAAAGAAACAATTTCAATTGTGTCTAAACCAGTCATTTTGATTTAAAAACTACAAAACCAATTTTGATAAAATTTCTATGGAGTCAATCTGTGAGTATAATATATCCTCTCAGATAACAAAATAATTTTCCAAATCTCTTTAGAATTGACGGAATTATGTGCAAACATAAGAAAAACAAAAACAAAACAAGAAACAACCGAATTGAAAATCTCCTTCTTTTGAAGGCGATTAAAAACTTATTCCAATTAATTTTTTGATTTATTTTTAAATGAAGAAATTTAATAAAAAAAAAATAAAAGCCACTGGTATTCACTAGTTAGCCAAATATAGTTATTATATATCAAATAAGGAACAACACAAATTAATCATCGTTTTTTTTTATTGTGAATGGCGTATTACAACTGATGACAAGCTATGTATTAGTACCCTACATAATAATAGCTTTTTCCATAAAAAGTTATAACAGTGAGGGTGGTTCTAGAAAGAAACTGACACATCGAATTATTGATAATAAAACAAGAGTAAAACGGAATATACACTAAGAAAATATTTTTAATAACTCACCCGGCTTTCAACACGCGGCTAAACTTCAAGATCACGGTGAATATATCGTTCAGTAACTTCATGACGGGCGTCGATCTGTTATTCAAGAGACACCTGAACAGCACCTTCTTTATGTATACAACGTGACACTCGTACAAGTCGTCCAAGGTCCTCGCTTTTTTCAAATCATTCTCGAACTCGGTCCACGATGTCAGTATACAGGTCGTGACGATGTAGTTGTCCAGCGCCCTGATCATGGAGGCCATGATATGACGGTATATTTGTATTGAAATGTATTGTGGTGAACGTAGAAGCCTCCGGGAGTGCTGCTTTGACAACTTCACTGACAGTTTTAGCGCCTGATGCAAAGATAAATTTAAAATTAACTAAATAAATATATATATATATATATATATATATATATATATATATATATATATATATATATATATATATATATATATATATATATATATATATATATATATATATATATATATATATATATATAACAAAGGAACCGACAAACGTACTAAGTTTATAAAGCTTTTGTTATATATATATATATATTTTTTAATACATGGAGGTCAACCTGATATCCTTATTATCAGGTCGACCTCCATGTGGTCCCCCCTAGAAACTACCTTGTTGAATTCCAGGTGTATTCATCACAATGGTCCAACTGACCTGCCTTCGCATTCTCACCTATCACTCTCACTGGTGCCCCGCCAACGTATACCGTTAAAGCAGGGTCACCATTCCATTATCATCTATTAAACAAAATATACACACGTAGCCTTCCACTAAATGGAGAAACGAGCTCAAATATCACATTTGCACCATGCAGGGAACCTGAACATAGATTTCCAACCCGAACATAGACTTTGGGCTGCTCTATGGTCAGCTAGACAATTAATATCTGAAATGTTAATCTTACCTCAAAATCTTCACCGAGCACCCAGAATATTCTCCTCATCTTGACGAGAAATTGGAACACCTTAGCGTACCGAAGCAGGGCCTCTTGGGACAGTATGATGTTCAGCGGCCAGTCGACCGCATACGTGAGCGAGAGACATTGGAGCACGTCCGGGGAGCTGTGCTGGAAACTGAGCGGCGACTCCGTGATGGTGAAGGACAAGTTCTCGGAGAATTTGTGGACATCTGTATAACGTATTTATTTAATCCTTTGTACTCCAGCCTAGTAACTCATAGAGGATACTAATAACCCCAGCACTATATTAGTTACAAGGAAAAAAAGGGGTGGCCTATTTTATGCCGGAACCACACCAAACCAAAGTATTATATAAAGTATGTATAAACTATTGTATAAAGTATATACGTAAGTATTGTATAAAGTATAATATATATATATATATATATATATATATATATATATATATATATATATATATATATATATATAAAGTACAAAAGGCGGCCTTATCGCTAAAGCAATCTCTTCCAGACAACCTTTAAGTAGAGGGGAAAAGAAAAAGGCGGTAGCTACTGACGCAAGAAGTGTATATAATAAATAAAATACATCAAAGCCTAAGTGTGATTGCTACCCGCTTGCCAAGTGTGGCAACTACTGGCAGAACCACCCAATAGGTGAAGGCCTATGTTAAGCAGTGGACAGTAAACGCCTGGTGTGATGATGATGATCATGACTGCGTATCTAAACCACAAATATTTGAATCGGAACATTGTTTGGATTGTCGCATATGTATACTAAATCTGTAATGCAAGAATCGTGAGCTGAGAAAGCCATTTACCATCAACCTGGCCGTATGCTCTATGCCATATGCTCGACTGCCACCATAAAACAAATGCAAATAATTACAATCAAATTAAAAAGCAAACTTACGCGAAATCGAAGATCCCAATGCCTTATCCAAAATATTGTGCAACGTTCCAAAATTGAGCAACTCCTGCGGATTCAACGTCTTGGTCAACTTTGAGAACAAGTTGTGACAGATACTTCTAGAGAACTCTCCGTCCATCAAGAAGAAGTAGTCCTTCAAGCTCCTCAGATGTTCGTACATATCGAGATTCACCAGAAAGTACGTTAAGATCGAATTATTTACAACCTCCAACTGATATGTCAGGGGTAACATAACAGATCTTTGGAGGCAAGCCGTCAGCGTTGCTATGTTGTCGCAAGTAATCTTTTCTTCTTTCACCTCATCGTGGGAGGCGAAGATATTTGCATACGGTCTTTTCTTTACTTCATCCATTATGATAGCCGGATGTGTATACCACGACATTGCCATTTCAGCGTCCATTTTATTACTCAAGTATTCTTTCGAATAGTTTTTCAATTGTCTTATGCCGAAGGGATCGAAATCTTCAACCGTGGTAGCTCCATCCAGTACATTAAAGAAGGAATACTTTTTGGTCAACGGTTTCTCTTCGTGATCTACACTTTTCGATGGGGACGTATCTGGACTATCTTCGGTCTGTGCATCGCTGATTGTCTCAATATCATCTATTATGGGGTAATTAAAGCCATCGGATGATATAAATTTGTTGTCAGGTGCAATTTTTGCTGATTCTATATCTTTGAATTCACTGCGTGGTGTGAATACGTCAGCGGACTGACTTCCGAGAGGTATTTCGGCTGTTGTAGGTGTTTCTAAATCGAGCTGTAAATTAAAACATTGCTTTTTTTTATTCAGATATCTTTTCAAATTAATGACTTTTAAAATATTTGGTAGTATCAACCCTAATGATTACTCAACTCATTAATTTCAGTTGGAAATCAAAAACCACGTTATTAACTGCAAGATAAGGTTTCAAATAGATAATTAAATGATTATAATAATAATAAAGATGATGATAGTAATGCCACATAATAATAAAAGAACAAAAATAAAGTAATAATGTAATAGAAAAGAAATATTTTTTAAACAAGTAAACACAATTTTTTATTGTAACGAAAAACATAACAATGAGAAGCATTTTTAAAAGGTGATCGCAGAAAGGATGTATGAACTGTGTGAAAGATAATATTCATGACAGAGGAGTGTACGAAAGACTGACGGTTGACAGGGATTTGTTGAAGAAGACATACTGCGTTGACCCCAAATAAATTGAAAAAGGCAAGGCAATAATAATAGAAAACATTTTGAGGTGAGCAAAATGCAAAAACAAAGGAAAAAAGTACATGTGATATCAACGAATTAATCAAAAGTCTGTGTAGTCAAAAAGCTACCAAATAAAAAATTACTTACTTTCGGAAAAAAGTCTTCTGGAGTCACACCTCCAGCGTTAGATAATGCAGCTATATTTTGGCCAGACGATTCACCATATGGCTTCAAATTTAACGTTAAGCCCGCCCTCCTTACGCTCTGTTTAGAATTTGATTCCCCACTCCTAATATCGTACTCAGAACTCAGTACCTTCTTTTTATTACGTATCGCTTCCTCCTGAGCCACATTTGCGGGCTCTTTCTGAGCTGTTTCTTCAACTGGTAGATTATATTCAACACGCATTACTCTTTGCTTATTCAATAACGCTTCTTTTTGAGCTTCTGTTGCTGGTTCAACTTGTTTGCATTCAGGTTTTACCAAATTAAACTCAGTTCCGAGAACTTTCATTTTATTCCGTTTAGCTTCAGAAAATGGCGACAATGATTTTAAATTGTTCTCTTCATCGACTGGCATCCTTATTAGTGGAGGGTCTTTCATCAAATTATTTTCTTTATCAGTCCCGTATTCATGTGACATCACTTTCTGTTTATTCAACAACGCTTCCTGCCTTGTTTTCATAAATAGCAAATTATCGCATGCCTCGTCTAATTTACTACCGATAACCTCACTTGAAGTACCTTTAGTGTTAGAATTTACTTCGGTGGCAACTATATTGCCTTGGGCATCTAATTTGTTTTTATTATCACACTTTTCTTCGTTACTCTTCGAAACGCCAAATATACTTTTAGCAGCATTACAAATAACACTAAACATGTCACTGGTCGTTTGTTTTTTACCAGACTGAGCCATTTCCGATCTTTCGCCGGATTCGGTGATGACAGACGATGATGGTTCCATCGCAGTATTTTCTATTTTATCACCATCACCATCTTGTTCATCATCAGATCTGTGATCAATACTCTGTATAGACATAGCCATAATTTCTTCGTTCTTCTGATGTTCTAGCTCTAATTTTTCTCGTTTTAAATTTCTCTCTTCAGTTGACAGTAACTGTATTCTACTCTGGTCCAACTGTAAACGTCGTATTTTCCATTCTGTGTGTATTTTACTTTTTTCCACTTCCATATTTAACTTTGAATAGTACTCCATAATTTTATTCCTAGAATCATTAACATTCATATATTTAATTTTGTTCTACTCAAATTTACTTTCTTAAAATGATGTTCTGAATTCTAGTAATCTATACCGATATGAGAAAGAAGAAAAGATTTTATTGTTTATTTGGATATATTTAAAAATTAACAAATTGACTTACTAAAATCTTTCATCTATATATAAAAAGCTACATCTATCTATCAGCGACTAAAATAGGCTATATATGTATTATTTAGAAAAAATCTATCTATTTATTTATTCTTTATTGTACACAATATATATATATATATATATATATATATATATATATATATATATATATATATATATATATATATATATATATATATATATATATATAATAAAAATATAAAACAGGCGAGCTTAACTGTGTAAGAGTTTTCTTCCAGCAAACCCTGAGTGGAAAGGAGCATTATAACCGTGTGAACTCGGCATTACTTACTTTCTACTTTGCATTACTTACAGCACACAAATAACAATAGACACAGTAAAGAGATAAAAAATACATATAAAAAAAAAAACAATATATAAACAATTTTTCTTTAAAGCGTATGTTGTGTTGTGACCATTTTGGTCACAACACAATTTACTGTTTTGCCCTCAAAAGAGCAAAACACTAATATTCTGTTGTGGCCAAAAGCAAGTGGCCAAATTATATACGGTACCTTTCGTCATCCCGGATCCTGGAGTCGACATCGTCGGTCAGGTCATCAGCGGTACGCTGTAGCCTGGCGATGCGGTCCGAGTGCTGTCGGCGGCGAGCGGCCGCTTCCGCCATGGCCGCCTCGAGCACACGCAGCGAGTGTTGCTTCTCGGCTATTATGAGCTGCCCCAGTCTTTTGCGTTCAGCTAATACAGATACACAATTTGATGGTCAGTGTTTTTTATTGATGATAACATGTGCCCTGGTGCCTTACAATTATACATCATCAATTTAGGGCAAGGTTTTTTAATGGTAGTGATGGAACGGTACACCGACCATTCCATCTTCACCATTTAAAACCCTCTGCTACTTACCAACAATCTTTTCCAAGGTCTCCGCTTGCTTCACCGACGCCATTTCCGTGAAGGCCTTCTTCTCAGCCTCCCTCTTGAGTATGATCTGGTCGAAGGTGACGGGCTCCCCGCTGACGAACAGGCATCTGGTTCTATACACATCGAGGATCTGCTGCTGCTCCTGCAGATCCTCAAAGCTCGCGCAGCATTTAACTGACGGGTGGTCTGACGATATCAACAGGACTAAGGGATCCTGGGACAAATGATAAATGTTTTTTATACAGAAGACTATGTTTAAAGCTTTATAACAAACTATTATCGGGATAAAAATCTTATCTCTCTAAGGATGGAATAGGGATTATTAGATACTAATGGGACTGTCCGTCCCCATCGTTTACAATGTATCCTGTCAAATCAACCTCCACGCGGTCTCCTAAAAACCAACGAAGAACTCCTGCGCTTTCGATATACGCTGGCGGGGCACCAGTAAGCAATAATAGGTGAAGATATGTGTGTAACAGGTCAATTGGCCATTACTGGCGAAATCATAAAGAATTAGCCAAGATAGTCTTCAGGGGGAACCGCGTGGAGGTTGACCAGACAAGGTACATTACTAGCACTGAAGCTGGTAGTTCCCCATTACTAAAACGCACACACACAAGCACGAGCACGCGCACGCACGCACACGCACGCACGCACGCACACGCACACACACGTTTGTAAAACAACCCAAGTCTTTTGCAATTGTCGATGTATTTAGGTACACTAATTTCAATGAGAATTGAAACAGTATTAGTCCATTTTCAATCGACACAATAATGTGGGGACAGATGGATCATCATCATTATTATCATCTCGGCTATTACCCATCCATATGTTGGACATAAGCCACCCTCACAGACTGCCATAAAGATTCCCCTCAGATCAACAATTAAAAATATCTTTCTATACTCACACTGGGATTACAGAGCTTTAACAATCGCAATGATTTCCCACACAGCAGTATGAACTTGGCGAGGGCTCTGAGGAAGTCCGGTATCGCTATACTCTGGGTTATGTGGAAGCCTTTGTCCCAGTAGCGTTTCGAACGACAGTTTACGTATTGGGAGTCTCTGCGTATGAAGAACTCGTGGTAACGGTCGTCTAGTTCGCCTTCGAAGATAAATCTCTCGATAAACCTGCCAACATGCATTGTAACTAGTTGATGGAGTCAAATAAAAGAAGCTATAGAGCGAGAGTACATGAAATGCTAAAAATTACTTCTTTTATGTATTTTTTTTTTGTATATTTTTTTTTATACAACATAGAATGGCAAACAAGCTGACGGCCCACCTGATGGAAAGTGGTAACCATCGCTTATGGACAAGAGCAGTACCATGGACATAACAGAGTATACTGTTTCGCCCATGATACCCCCCATGCGTTGCCATTCCTGAGGACTCAGGTGTTATTCCTTTGTACCCAGTAAATTCACGCCATATCATCTCTGGTATATATGCATAATATTGCTGATTTAAATAGAAATATATTATACTAGGGATGTAACAGTATGCAGAGTTTCATCCCAAAAAAGAACTACAAAGGGTATTCCAAGATGCATTATAAAAAAAAAACAATACTCACTTGAAATAAACCTGGCAAACGGAGAACAGCATGTTGAACGTCGTGAATGCTGTCTTCCTCTGTGTAACCAGTGATATTTCGTTGAACAGGTACGACATCAGCTCGGCGCCGCGTGGCAATGTTGTTGATTCTACATTGAAATAAATTTAAGTATTTGTGAATAGTTATTTTTTTTTTTCTATTTCCAAATCTGAATGCGATTACAATGGAGACTAACGGGAAAGAAATTCAGCTGTTGCTTTTTACAATTCAATTTTTAAAGTTAAATCTTTCTATACTACTATTAGACAGAAGATTTAATTGTATGTTTGTTTGTAATAATAAATTCAAAAAATACTTAATAGATTTTAAAAAAATTTTGACATTTATAAAGCTACATTATCGACGAATAACACAACAGTAACATATTTTTTTTTTTAAATTCTAACATAAATAAATAATAATATTATTAATTATATTAATAAAAATTAAGAATATTAGCATATATGTATGTACCATTTAGTTTCCACCCACGGAACCTCACGCCGTGGGTGGAAACTAAATGGTTGAAAGATGGGCAACAGCGTCCCTCTTAAAACATCACCAAACTAACTACGGTTGCCAACCCGCCTGCCAAGTATGGCGACTAATAATAAAATCACCCTAGGGGAAGGCCTATATTCAGCAATGGGCATTGAATTACTGATATAATAAAGAAATAACAATAATGTATGTATGTATATATATTTCATATGTATTAGTTTATCCATATATATAAAAAGTAATGTTTATGTATTATATGTGCATTTCTTATGTGTATATTATATTTATATTGTGTATTAATGTGTTACTATAATTGTCACATATTTTTCACCGCATCTGCCCTTCATACGCTTTCTGTTTTTACCCAATGTTTACCTAGTAGAGAATGCCATATGGCATTAAGCTGGCCATTTGTACAAAGTTTTATTGTGCAATAAAGAATAAAATAAAATGTATGTAAATTTCGTTCCGCTTGAAAATGTAAAGTTTTCATAGTAGACAAGCAGTGCTAAATAAAAAACCGTACCTGAGTCGATCATTTTGTAAACGGCCACAATAGTTTCAATTTCACATTTGAGCGGTTCCGTGTGGTACAATATCTGCAGCAGTGTGGGCATGCAGTTCAAATCGTCGGACCTGTTTCTGGTGCATTCCTCGTATATCTCGGTTGCAGCAAGACGGAACTCCAATAGGTAGCGTCTTATTACTTCCCTCGCCGCCTAAAACGAGATATTTGAGTAAAATGCATATGACGGGTCTTAGTACGAACAATAGACGCCACAATTCCGTTCAACATTGTTGATACTTTTAATCACAGAAAATTAAAGAGTTCCTGTGGGATAATTAAAAAACTATAGTAACTTATACAGCTTAGTACACAACCTACTTAAGTAAAATCGTTTTGGGGGGAAGGGATTGTTAGCAATGGAGTATGACAGCCCCATTGCTAGCAATATGCCCTATCAGGTCAACCTCCGCGTGGTTCCTCCCTGGAAACCATCGTGAACAATTCTCGGTGAATTCGTCACGATGGGCTAACTGACCTGTTTCATCTTCATCTATAATTCTTCACTGGTACCCCGCCGGTGTATACCGATAGCGCGGGTGGGGTTACTATTTCATTATCACCTATAAAGTCGTTTTGACCTAAGACAAAGAGTGAAAACGACACGTCATTTGTTAATTTTGGTCCAGTATTCCCAGACATAATAAATAGGTAGGTACATACATCGATACGTACTAAACGGGAATAACATATAGCACGTAGACAAAGTGGCGGACATTAGCTAGTATTTTTTTTTGATGGATGAAAATGGTATGGTAACCCCGCCTGCGCCAACGGAATAAGCTGGCGCAGCACCAGTGAAGGGTGATAGATGAGAACGAAAACGGGCCAGTTAGCCCATCATGATGAATTCATCAGAAATTAACCATGATAGTTTTCAGGGGGAAACGCGAGGAGGTCGACCTGGTTGGATATATTGCCAGCAATGGGATTCTCAGTCCCCATTACTAACAAACCCTTTTTTAATTAAATTCCCCCTATTAGCTAGTATTGAATAATAGTGTAAATCTATTTATTGCATAATATTTTATTATATATTTTAATATTTTATTTAACTGTATATTTGTTTATGTATTAATAGTTGTAGCACTTCAGCTGCTCGCTAACGAAATGCTTTCTCACTGTACTGGGTTGACTGGAAGAGATCTCTGTCAGAGATAAGTCCACCCTTGCTCACAACATTTATAAATACATCATTTTACATGTAACTTACAAGTGCAATAAAGAATATATATTAAATATCTGTGAAACGCTTACCTCATAAATCAATCCGTGGCTGTGAAAATGGTCGTCCAATGTGTGGTTGAAGGCGAATCTGTATAGTCGCCGGTAATAGGTGCCGATATGCAACAACTCTGATGTATAGCCTTGCAATCTCTCCCTGGATATGCCCTCGAGAACTAAATTACCTCTCATGTAGAAGCTATTCGTCTCATGATTGAACGGAAACGAACTTGTCTCTACTCCAACTAAAATCATTTTTAATCTATTTAGATAGATAGATAGATACTCTTTATTGTTTCCCCAAAAGATTACAATAGTAAACTTATTATAAATATAAACAATTACAAGAAATGATCACAATGAGAAAACAATGGGCGACCTTATTGCTAAGAGCGATCTCTTCCAGGCAACATTTGGATTGAGAGAATTATAAACAGTTTGATCGGAGGCACGGTGAAAATTCTATTATTTATTTATATAGATATATGATATACATAATAATGTAAAATATATATACCTACTCATTAGATACTAAAGTTTACATGTTTCACTCAATCATACTTCAATGATTGAACAAATTTGAATAAAATTTAATACACATATAGATCATAACCAAGATACACATAATACAATATATATATAGTCCTAAATTATACGAACAAAACTGTAGAGTATAGCTAATAAAATTACATTTGGCCCAACATTTACATTTGTTTCAACCGTAAAGCAGTTGTGTTTGCATGGCTATGTTTCGGTTTAAGGAGTGGGATATGGCGTGAATTTACAGAGTACAGAGGAATAACACCTGAGTCCTCAGGAATGGCAACGCATGGGGGTATCATGGGCGAAACAGTATACTCTGTTATGTCCATGGTACTGCTCGTGTCTATAGGCGACGGTTACCACTTTCCATCAGATGAGCCGTCAGCTTGTTTGCCATTCTAAGTTGTATAAAAAAAACATACTGCTGAACAAATATGACACTTTGCATCACAACGTGTCACCTCGCATTAATCTCCGGTATTCATATAGACATTGAATAAAAATGAAGATAAGTTTTAAATATAGTAACGAGTATTATTTATGTCTCGTGCCCCGAGATAGAATGGGCCACTCCTTCCTTTCATAAAAGGAGACTAAGGGAGGGCGAGGGATGGGAGCAGCGTCCCTTTTAAAACATCTCTAATAATCTAACTGCGGTTGCCAATCCGCCTACCAAGCGTGGCAAACTACTGGCAAAACTCCCCTTAAGACAGCAGTGTCTTGTGTCAGACAGTTAACGGCTGGAATAATAATAAAAAACGTTTATATCTAGTTAAAATGACAGCAACCACTTCCTACAAGATCCTCTGCGCGATTATCACTTGTTTTTCTTTTTTTTTTTCAAATAAATAAACTATTATTACTTACTAATTAAATACATAATATGCCTTATAAACTGTTTCTCCGATACGACCGTGAGGTCAGACAGCACATCTTCATGTATCCGCCGCCATAATCGAAGCTCCCTTGGCGAGCTTGCGATCAACTGTCGCTCATTCACTGCTGGTAATTTTGCTGTAAATATTAAGTAAAGTAAAATAAAGTAAGATCCAGCAATATCTATACTAGTGATATAAAGTGGAATAGTTTGTTTAAATGTTTGAACATACTATTAGCCTTAGATTATATAGATAGAGTGTCTCCCATACAAATGCTTCGAGAAAAACGGATCAACTTTTTCAAACAATTTTGCGTGATAAATAGTTACGAGTGATACCTTTATAACTTCTATATTTATTTTGCATTTTTCTTATAAATTCTGCACCTTTTTAATGCCCAAAAAACTGTATATTTGTCTATGTATTAATAGTTGTAGCACTTCAGCTGCCCGCTAACGAAATGCTTTCTCACTGTACTGGGTTGACTGTAAGAGATCTCTGTCAGAGATAAGTCCACCCTTGCTCACAACATTTATAAATACATTATTTTATTTGTAACTTACAAATGTAATAAAGAATATATATATTTGAAAAAAATCATTTTTTATTTACTAATTTTAATAAATAATTATATTTTTTATATTTTTAAATAAATATAGATATTTACTAAATAAATATAGATAGGTACATCAAGATACATTGTGTGCGTAAATTAATTTAACAATGAGCTGACAAAAATTTTACCCGTTTTTGAGGCTCTCTATCTATATAATCTAAGGCTATTGCATATTGCATATTGTTATTTCCTGACAATAGGCTGGAAATACTAGTTAGATGTGGAAAAATTTATTTGCATCTATAGTTAAGGAAATAACAGGCTATTAAACATCACGATGCGACCATGCGTGAAGAGATGGCTAGTGGGTACTATTTGTGATAATTCAGTCACTCAGCTTTACTTAGTTTAATTCTTATATTATAAACAGAAACAAGTGTGAGTCTATGACTAATGTACTTACCAACAGTCTCCCAAATATCATCAGGTATGTCCTTATCAACCTGCGTCGCCAGCTCCCAGATGTCCACTTCCTCTTCTTCAGCTCTCCCTCTGTATACTTCCTTCACATCCAATTTCAAATTTGTACTTTCTGATGAAACCTGTAATTTTTTTTACTATTTATTAATGACTACTATGAAAAAAAAGGTCAAAATAATTACAAATAACAGTTATTATACTTTTTTACGAGAAACAAGGTAATGAACACCTTAAGCATTAATCATGTGATGTTTTAGCAACTTTTTTACTCCCTCCCCCTCTGTTGATGTGCGAGGTTTTAGACTTTTTTTTAATAGATGATAATGGAATGGCAACCCCGCCCGTGCTACCGGCATACACCGGCGGGGCACCAATGAAGAATGACAGATGAGGATGAAGCAGGTCAGTTAACCCATCGTGACGAATTCAACAAGAATTGTTCACGATGGTTTTCAGGAGGGACCACGTGGAGGTCGACCTAAAAGAGCATATTTCTAACAATGACGAACTCTCTACGTCATTAGACCCCATTACTAACAATATCTTTCCTCCCCGAGGTCAGACTACCCCCCGCTCCCTCATACCCATAATCACATATATTTTTTTAGTACAAAGTATATTGAAAGAATTGATAGTATATTCTATGGGCCAATCTGTAAGTATATACCGGTGTATACCGATAGCGCGGGTGGGGTTATCATTCCATTATCATCCGTTCTGTAAGTATGTCCTTTCAGATAAAAAAAAATTCCCAAATAAGTTAATAACTGAAGGAGTTATGAAGTAAGAAACATAAATAAAAATATATGTACAACCAAACTAAATACTACCTTCTTTTTGAAGTCGATTGAAAATTAAAATTAATATAATTTTACGTTTTAAATTAATATTATTTGTACCTTCTCACTGACATCATTAGACTCAGATACAGGTATCTGCAAATCTCTGGGTGCCGTCAATTGTGGATAATTGAACATACTTTCTGAATATGGTGACAGATGGGTGGATGTCATTGATGCAAGTGACATGGGATTTTGAATTGTCTTCAGGTCTGATGGCTCTCGCATCTGAGAGTTGGTATCTAAAACTAAAAAAAATTATTATAAAATAGTAACATTATAATATTAATGATATAAGAAATTGAATTAATTAATATATATATTTTATGGAGTTAATTAAATATTAACTTAGACACTATTAAAGTCACCTTAAAATTATAATAATGATCCAATTCAAACAAAGCTCTTCCAGTTTTTTTTTTTATATGACTTAGAATGGCAAACAAGCTAACGGCCCACCTGATGGAAAGTGGTAACCGTCGCCTATAGACATGAACAGTACCATGGACATAATAGAGTATACCGTTTCGCCCATGATACCCCCCAAGCGTTGCCATTCCTGAGGACTTAGATGTTATTCCTCTGTACCCTGTAAATTCACGCCATATCCCACCACATTCATCAATATATCCATACAAGCTAGCTGGTTACAACTGCTTTCAGTTTAGCCATTTTTCAACACATCATCTATTTGGTGGATGTGGGCGAAAGGACTGTATGCTGGTATGGAAACACGGTGTTTTAGAAAGATAATATAATTATATAAAAATATACATAGCAAACCAACGGAGTAAAAAAGCGAAGGCAAAAACAAAACCGAAACTGACACACACTTCAAATTACAAACAAAACATCTTTTTAATAAATTTAAAAAAGAAACTAAAAAGGTGCGTTGTGCACAGTGGACATACTTTTTAATGAATGGATGATAACGGAATAGCAACCCCTGGTATACACTGGCGGGGCACCAGTGAAGGATGACAAGTGAGAATGAAAAGACAGGTTTGTTAGCCCTTTATGATTAACACACCTGGAATTCAGCACAACAGTTTTCAGGTGGACCTCATGGAAGCCTACCTGACAGGGTATATGTATTTCTAGCAATAGGACTGATAGTCCATATTACTAACACTCCTTTCTCCCCCCACGAATGAAATACTAGGCCCCTACTATAATCACTACACAAGTCGAGGTTTTTTCAAGAGACTACAGAATAGGATTCCTTAAAGCATTTCAACATGCATGTAATGGCTCTGGTAGGGGAAAAAGGGATTATTAACAATGGGGTTTGACAGCCCCATTTCTAGCATTATACCCTATCAGATCTACCTCCACTTGATTCCCCTTAAAAACCATCATGGCTAATACTAATTCTTGTTAAATTCATTATGATGAGCTAACTGACCTGCTTCATCCTCACCTATTATCACTCACTGGTGCCCCACCAATGGATACTGATAATGCAGGCAGATATATCATTCCATTATCACCCATTAAAAAGACGGCCCTGGTATTTACCATCTCAGAGGGATAAAAAATACAAGATGCTTGATAAATACCCATATCACAAAGAAATATTTATTAGCATATACTTACGAGATTTAGAGTCAAAACTCTCCACAGTATATTCAGTGTATGTTTGAGATATATGGCTGTCCAGCAGTGATGCCTGCTTTTTTAAAGAAAATGGGAGCTCAAACACATGTGAAGGGAAGTATGGGTATGGTTGCACAGAACCAAAACTCTCCCTAGGTGGCTTTGGAAGCATATCATCCAGGACTCCAAAGGAAAATGGATTCTGAAATTTCAATATAGTCAACTGGTTGGCCTCTCAAGGTATCATAAAAAAAAACGAAATATTTAGTTAATGGCAGTAAGCAGCTTTATGGGTAATGTGATCAAACATAAGCATAATAGTTTTACCTGATACATATCTACCGACAAATCATCTTTAACAGAATTACTTAACCCAATCAGAAATCTCAAAACGTTATAGACACAATTGTGATACTCTCCAAAATCCTTATCACGGATATCACTAATAATCTTCTTCAACTCAACAGATCTTTTATATTCGGCTACATTTCTTGTATGTTGATGGGAGACAAAATTATAACACAATATATCAGCTGTTGGGTCTCTATCAACACTTTGAAGACAAGGCACCGCCATGGGCGTCTTTCTAAGTAATATCTCATAACATTGAGACCTCATCTTGCTCATAAGCCGCTTTTGAGGTATTCTATTTTGAGCACAATATTTAGAAGCGGTTTTCTGACATAATTCTGTGAGAAGATCAAACACTCCATCATCCTCCGGTGTCATTTTATTAAATAAAACCATGATTTATGTAGTCCAAAACGACGCAATAGAATATTACATATTCGATATAAATAACTATATCATATAAGAAATTGAAATCTAAATTACTGTCCAAACAGGTACGTAAGGTTTTTAATTGTAACCGATATAAGTTAGTAAATAAAACAATAAACAAATACAAATTAAAGCAAAAACGATCTGTCAGCTCGAGTTATCAGATCTGACATTGACAATTTGTACTTTTAACAATTTGGTAGATTAAGAATAGTAACTATATAAAAAAAACTAAAGAAATAGTATTCTATAAACACTATTATATGTATTAAATAAAAATTCTCAAATCATGTATCTTGTACGCGTATAAAATTAGTATTTTAGGCTTTAAATCAGAACACAAGGGACAACCCATAGTATTTTGGATAAGTACTTAATATATACTGAGGTATACCACATGTCACTGTCATAATAATATTGACAAGTAATGGTGCATATGACCGAATGGTTCTACTTCCTTTATGTTATTTTTCTATCTCTAAAAAAAATAATCTAACCTAAAATTTTATTTCTATAATACTGTGCATTAAATTAAAAAACATTATAATTAAATAAACATTTTTACTAGTACATTTTAAACATGAATCAAGCTGATGTTACTAAATTGGTTTCCAAACTTCGTATTCCTGTACATCCAGAACGTCGCAAGCTTAGAAATCCAAAAGGTCCAGAAGGAAGAATAGATAAATTACGTAAAACTGTAACCGGCTTAATAAAATACGAAAGAATTGAACTTAACTACAACAGAGCCGATGAAGCTCGACAATATGCAGAAAGGGTAATAACAATATTTATTTTTAGGATACACATAGGACAAGTGAAATAAATTATCGTGCTTAATACATAAGATGGCCAGTAATATTTGCAGACAAGATTATTATTGTTTATTGACAAGTAACACTGCATATCAACATTGAATGTATTTTGTGGAAACAATTGTTGGTAAACCTAAATAAATAAATAAATGTACAATGTTTACAACACTATTATAAGTAATATTTGCCTAGAAAAATATCATTAAATCTTTAAATCTGCAAACTACAATTAATTAATTAATTATCATTTGCAAGTAGTGTACTAACATACATACTCAGTGTACAGTGTAATTACAAACATTAAAGTTACCTTTTTTTTAATTATTATCTGATAAATACACTTCATAAATGTATAATGAAATAATGGGAAACACTATAATTGAAATGTGTGTGTAATCAAGGATTGAAATGTGTCATTTCTCCAAATCTATCTTTTAAACTTTTAATTTGATATCACTACAATATTTTTATTCTAAGAACAAATATGAGCTGAATTTTTAATAAATTTGTCAAAGTATTATAATAGTAATTATAAATTTAATGCATGAAACAGTAATTTCAAGAAAATTAAAATATATAAAAATAGCTTAATGGAAATGCTGTCTCTGAAATAATCCCATTATCTACATATTTTTTGTGAGTTTACACTGTAGGTAAATGAAATTATGAGTAAAATTTACACAGCTATTGCCCTGTTATGGTGCCTCTGCTATTTATAAAGATTTCTTTTTTTATTTATTTCTATATTTTTTTTTTTTTGTTTTAGCTTATATCAGAAGCAATACAACATGGAGACTGTCATAAACCAACAATGGATATTGCAGATTACTGGCTCCTGGAAAAAGAACTTGTACACAAACTTTTTAAGGTCCTTGTGCCTAGGTATGAAAATCTCAACTCTTGCTATACAAATTTGCTGAAGGCACCACGACCTCAAAATACTAGAAACATTGAAAAAGTTGTTCTAGAATTGAAAGGGAACCCGTACCCACCATTACGTAATAAACAATCTAACAATAAGCTCCTGATTCAGAATGTTTTGCTAGATGCAGCCAAATATGAGTACAGACAGTCCAAATACGCTGAAATAGCTGATAAAATTGGCAAAGGAGAAACAACAGTTGACAATAATCAAAAAGAAAAGGTCACAGAAAAACCTTCTCAGAGTTAAATATTTTAATTATTATTAAACATTTTAGTATTGATTTAGTGTAAGAAATAAATTGTGTTAGATTTTTTAATTTACTATCATTTTCATTAAAACCAACTTTCTCTGCTTACCCCACAATTGTTCGATAGAAAATACCTTTAATGTGTCAAGTACATATGCCATGCATACTTCAGTTGCATAGTTAAGTTATTATTTGCATTAATGCCATAAGCAAATAACATCTAGTAACAACAACAATGTTAATTGTACTAAATAAGCAAATTTAGGCTATTTTATATATCAATTGTTTACTAGATATTTATCTTTTGCTCACATTACTTATATATATATATATATATATATACATGCAAACTTAATGCCTGATGATTCTGTGCCAATTAAGTATTATGCTAAATAGATATTAAACAGAGGAACTAAGCAAGAATAGGTAATAGACACTGGTATTAGACAATCAAAGGCAAATGATTACCCTGCCTGCGCTATCGGCATACCTTGGAGGGGCGCCTGTGAAGAGTGACAGGTGAGAATGAAGCAGATCAGTTGACCCATAGTGACCAATTGCACAAAAATTTACCACTGGTTTCCAGGGGAACGGCGTGGGGGTCGACCTGATACGGTGTAATGCTAGCAATGAGGCTGTTAAATCTAAATTTAAAATGTAAAACAAATAATTGTATTATGTAGTGACATTCCTAATGGCTAGATGAGAAATACACTCTACTGTGACATATTCCTTTTTAAAAGGCCGGCAGCACACCTGCAATGCCGCTGGTGTTGTGGGTGATCATGGGCGGCGGTAGTCACTTACCATCAGGTGAGCCGCATGCTCGTTTGCCCCCTGTGTTGTAAAAAAAAAAAAAAAAAATAGCGATCTAATGACAATAGGTACAAATAATTCATAATACTAATTATATTATCCAAATCACTTAGCAAAGACATCGAGTAATGCTTTTTAGATAAGACGGAATATTTCAAAAAACAAAGCTAATGGATAGAAACGAGCAATTTTAGTTATCGCAATGTTTACGAGATTGTTGGGAGCTGTTCTTCTTTTTTTCGTATACATTCGACAGTGATGTCTGTATAGATGAAGTCGTAGCATCTTTTTAATATTCTAGCAGTGAAACAGAGTATTTTTCATTAAAATATTCTTCCACGTTCTTTTTTTTTTTTGTCGAGGGGAAATGCTTCATGCAGATCCACATAGTTTGGAGGAGATATGTGGGTACTGCCGGACTCTTATCGGCTAAAACCCCCCGGTGTTCCTCGTCCACCTATTCCCGGAGCCGCGGGGAACCCACTTGAAGTCGTCCGAGACTCCGACGGCTCCATATGACGGCTATGTACCTATTTTTTTTTTGATGGGTGAAAATGTTATGGTAACCCCGCCTGCTGGAACAGTATACGCTTGCTGAGCAACAGTGAAGGGTGATAGATGAGAATGAAAACAGGCCAGTTAGCCCATCATGATGAATTCATCAGGAATTAACCATAATAGTTTCCAGGGAGAACCGCGAGGAGGTTGAGCTGGTTGGGTACATTGCTAGCAATGGGATTCTCAGTCTCCATTACTAACAATCCCCTTCCCCCACTATGTACCTATTTGTCAAGCGACTTTAAAATTTCATAATTCTTTTTTTTTATGTTTTTACCTCATTACTCAGTCAATTCTAAACCGATTTGGAAAATTCTTTTGTTATCTGAAAGAATATACTTATTAATAGACGGGACCAGTCTGGTCCCGTAGAAAGTTTATCAAATTCGATTCAGTTGTTTAATTATTAAATCGAAATAACTTATTTTGTCACAATTAAGGTGGGTCTTTCTGTGGGATACGATTCTTTTTTAATGGATCGTTTTAAAAAATGGTAACCTCGCCTGCGCTATTAGCATACCTACGCTTGCGGCGCACCAATGGGAGTTAATAGATGAAGATGAAAATAGATTAGTTAGCCTACCATGACGAATTCAACAAGAATTAACCAATGTGGTTCCAGAGAAACTGCGTGGAAGTCGACCTAATAAAGTATATTACTACCAATGAAGCTGTTAGACCCCTTTTTATAATTTTTTCATTCCTAATTATATTCTATAGCATCGGTATATTCGCAGTTTAACATACAACTAACAATTCCGATTTCACCTGTATACCTCGTCAGCGTGTACTAAGTGTAAACAGTATTACTATTTCATTTTCACTCATTAAATGAAAAACGGGCTCAGTACGGGACGATAGGGGGAAAGGGATTGTTAGTAATGGCGACTGAGAATCACATTGCTAGCAATATACCCAACCAGGTCGACCTCCTCGCGGTTCCCCCTGGAAACTATCATGGTTATTTCCTGATGAATTTATCATGATGGGCTAATTGACCTGTTTTCATTCTTATCTATCACCCTTCACTGGTGCTCCGCCAGCGTATCCCATTAGCGCAGGCGCAGTTACCGTTACCATACCATTTTCACCCATAAAAAAAAAAGTACGGGACGATAGATGTGGATAAAGTCTGGTCAGTCAGTCCATTGTGACTAATTTACTAGAAATTAACCACAGTAGTTTCTAGGGTAAACTGCGTAGAGGTCGTCCTGATAAAGTGTATTTCTGGGAATGGGGCTATTAATGCCCATTACTAATAACCCCTAACCCCGTACACTTTTTTTAATGAATAATTATGGAATGGTAATCCCACCTATGCTGGCGGGGATGAGGCATGATAGGTAAGAATGAAAAGGCAGGTCAGTTAGCCCATCATGATGAATATACCTGAAATTCTGCACGATGCTTTCTAGGGGGACCACGTGGAGGTCGACCTGACAGGTTATATTGCTAGCAATGGAATTGATAATCCCTTGGGAGAAGGAGGGCGACCGAGCGGCGCTTGGGGTTGTCGAGACCCAATGTGGACGATATTGAAATTATTTTTTTATGAAACTTAGAAAATAAGCCTTATAGGCTACCTAATGGAAAGTAGTAACCATCGCCTGTAGACATGAACAGCACCATGAAGGTCACTTTCTCTCTTTGTGATACATAGTCGCCTCTCTGCGATACCCGTGGTATCCCTTATATTTGCCATTCCTGAGGACCATGGTGTCTCTGTATACTGTAAAGTACAGCTATATAAACACACTTGCTTTCAATTCTTGAGGACTATAGGAACACCTTTTTAGGAATCCAATATATGGATCCGGTATGTGTGATATCAAATCCGATCTAAGCAGCTTCCAAATGTATTACCTTTTGTCTTTATGACTTATTTATGATCCTTTCCTCCTTTTTTCATCGTAAAATGTTCGCAGGGGCCCTAGGTACACTAGGACCGGCCCTGCTGAAGACACAACATGAAATTCTTTAGAAAGGGCCTAATAAGACTTCTTAAAGATAGGCAACACGTGCGTCAAACCTTAAGATACATTGGTATTGGATGTATCGTTACTATTAGACGGGCGATACTTATTTGTCGTCGTAATAATATATAAAAAAAAAATAGGATTTTCATGTGGTAATACACGCAAAATACTAAAAACGCATTCACAGAATACCCAGAGAGGAATATAGGAAGTATACGTATGTTGGAACAAAAACACTATTACAAGAAAGTGAAGCTTGTGTGCGTAGGGCTATAATCCGTTATAAAAAAAAAAAACCAGCTACTCGGGGATAGTCGCCTCCGGAGTTAAAGCCGGAGCAAAGGGGTTTATCCCGAGGCCCTACCTAAATACTTCTAGGAGGGATAAGAAGACCCGTCGTCGTCGGTATTCGCTCAGAACCACAAATCCACAGCTATGCGGCACACGTCTGTTTTAATAAAAATTGAAATGCACTGTACAGTGTGCAAAACAACAAAAAATATATCTTTTTTTAATTATTCTAAAGACTTTACTAGGTAAATATTATGTTATTATAATATATTTCAGCCATTATCCGTCCACTGCTGGGTATGGGTCTTCCCCATAGACTGCCATAAGGAATAGTCCTGAACCACCTGCATTCACTGAAATTCATTTGAGGTCGTCATTCCATCTAATAGAGAGTCATCCTGCATTGGCCCGTACGGGATCACCACTCAAGAATCTTTCTTCCCCATCGGTTGTCGGTTCTTCGAGCTATGTGACTAGTCCATTGTTACTTCAGCTTGCTTATCCTTTGGGCTATGTCGGTTACTTTGTTTTTTTTTTTTTGTGAATATCCTCGTTTCGGATTTTATCACGCAAAGAGACTCCGAGCATAATGCTCTCCATAGCCCGCTGAGTAATTTGAAGCTTCTGCATACAGGGAATCGTGTAGGACCATGTTTCGGCTCAATAAGTCATCACTGGCAACACGCACTGGTTAAAGGCCTTGGTCTTCAAACTCTGAGGTATTTTGGATGAAAAGATATGGCGTAGTTTTCTGAACGCTGCCCAGCCGAGTTGGATTCATCTGTTAACCTCACGATCGAAGTTGGACTTACCTATTCGGACAACTTGTCCCAGGTATACGTACTCGTCGACAAATTCGAGCATAGTGTAACCTCATGCGTAACCGGTAGGTATAGCCGTGACGCAGTGAGCATAACCAACAATGTGATAGAGATAAGTTATGAGGACGTTTTAAAAGCAATGAAGAAATTTAAGTATTTTATCATTTTATTTTTTAAAATAATTTCATACTACTTTAACATGAAATTCCTTTTTTATCGTAATGTATATATCTAATACTATGCCCTGTAGCAGGGAATGTAGATAATTTGGTAACAACATATATATGTATATATAACTGTCTTGTGACAAACCTTACACATTTGTCGATACATCAAACGAGCTTTCCTTCTGGGTATAATATCTAATCTGTGACGCAGCCACGTTCATGGCAAGGAAATTTGTGTTGTACAACGGTCACGCGCGTGACTTGGTGATGGCAGAGGAGTGCGCCTTTAAGGCCCGACTTCATCGACTTTTATATGAGCTGTTTGCTTTCCTAAACGACTTATTATAACAAATTTAATTAACAGCACTACTTAAAAATTTAATCCAGCAGTTAATCACGAGATTTATATAATCTTTTTTGTAAAACATTATCTTTTTGCATCCATTATTATTAAGTTACAGTTTTAAAAATAAAAATTATGCAACAAACACGGAATAAGAACATTGCCATAAAAATAATTAATCCGGGTTAATTTATTTTTATTATAACCCTACATTGAAATTGAAATATGAATATAGTCAGATTTTAAAAAATATGGGTGATCACTGGTATGCGATTTATAACAGTGTGTTTTCCGTCTTAGGCATGCTTAACGTAGATAAATATATCATATATAAAATGAATAAAAAAGAATTTAATATATTTTTTACAAATTTAATAGGCAATTAATTCCTTATATTAACACAAAAAGGAACGTCACTATGTAAGGTTATCTCTGAAATGTCATCATGGAATCAAAACAACTACTTAGGTAGAAATAAATATTTTTATCAAGCCGAGGCACAAAAAGTATTTTAGTGAGATTAGTATTTTTTTAGACACGATCCCATTATTTAATGCTCAACATGAATTGTGGAAACGATTTAGTACCCAAAATAGTGGTTTTAGGATCATGTAGTGTAGACTTTACAACGTAGGTATTACGTATGTTTATTATAACCTTGCTATGTCTGTCAAATCAATAGAAATTTAAAACGAACGAGACAGCAGGTAAGCGTCATATGATCTGTTATGTAATTGACATTTTTGTTCTTTTATCTTCCAGTTATGCTCCCAGACTTCCAAAACCTGGAGAGACAATTATTGGTAGTAAATTTACAACCAGCTATGGTGGGAAAGGTGCAAATCAATGCGTAGCTGCGACAAAATTGGGCGGAAATACATCAATGATATGCAGACTAGGTTGACAATTATCTCTTCTGTAACCTATAAATATTTACGAATAGACAAATGGGTATTAAACAGAATATATATAAGAACCTAGTAAATACAAAAATAATGCAAATACTTTACTGATCTAAAGACCTATATTATTTATTTATTAATTATGTACGATGAGTTCGTACAAATGTAGATTTATTGTAAAGGCACTATTTTATTCGAAAATAAAGACTGTAATACTCGGTTCGGCAAGTAAGATTATTGAATTGTTGTTGATTATATGAGTTATATTTTCGAGAAGTAAGACCTGGTTCACACTAACGTCTGCGTGTGAAAGTAACGAGAGAAAGAGATAGGTATATTGACGGCCGTTGCTGATTTTATATAAAGTGAACCGAAATATATAATTTTACAGAAGCATTCCGGGATGTCTCAGTTTTTTAATAGGGCTTTATTATGTTTCTTGATTTCTTAACATACCTATATAAACTACAACCTATACATTTGTTTTTTGCTTTTTGATTAACATCATTTAAGTGTTTAAAATATAACCGTATCTGCTACAATTTCTTTTGTTTGGCAGGTGACGATCGATGGGGCACCCAATATAAACAATATCTTAAGGATATTGGCGTTGATGTGACTTACGTTCACATAACACCGAAAATTACTACAGGAATAGCTCAGATATCTGTGGCAGAAAGTGGGGAAAATCAAATAGTCATTGTGCCCGGTTCTAATGGTTATCTAAGCAAATTGGATGTGAAAGAATCTGCTGATCTTATAAAAAGTGCAGATGTTCTTATCGGTCAACTGGAAACTCCATTCGAAACTACCTTAGAAGCATTTAAATTGAACAAGGGGGTAAGTTACAATTAAGACATGACGTTTGTGTGAATGTTTGTGAGATCGGCTAGTATAATTATATTTAATAATATTTACCTATATACTATTACCTACTATATACTTACAATTTGTTTTTATTTTTTAGATAAAATTATTAAATGCAGCACCAGCTCGTGAAGATATTGAAGAAATACTACCTTATTGTTCAATATTATGTGTAAATGAATCTGAAGCCTCAATACTTACAAAACTTGATGTTGATATTTCGTAAGATTTTTTTGTGATCATACATGACTATTATATTATAGGTATTATATTATAGGTATTACGGATAATGACCTTTTTTATTGCTCATCTAATATTACAGAAATGCTGTAACTGCTCTGGAAAAACTATTGGAAACCGGCTGTGATACTGTTATTATTACTTTAGGAGAAAAGGGAGCTGTCTATTCATCGAAACATGAACCAACCCCATTACACGTGTTATGTGACCCAGTGACTCCTGTTGATACTACTGTATGTCAAATTTGCTACTAATACATATTTTTAAATAAAAAAATAACTAATGTTGTTTATTTAAGACATTAACTTAAGTATATTATACAATTATTTTTTCTAGGGAGCTGGTGATGCTTTCGTGGGAGCTCTTGCCACGTTTCTAGTTACGCAGAAGAACTATTCATTGCATCAAATTATTGGAGCTGCATGTGAAGTCGCTACTATATCAGTTACGAAGGAAGGCACGCAAACCAGCTATCCCACAAAATTAAATCCTTTTAATAAAGAATTTAAGTATTTGTACCTATAACATAAATATTGTTTAAATAAAACAAGTTTCATCTAAACCATCAAGGCTTTATATTTAATTAAACAATCTACGTGCGTGTATTTTTAAAGATAAAGACATCTTTAGAACATATCATTATTCGTAATCTAAAATCTAAATTAATGTAAAACAAGGAAACCAGTAGTAACAAAGTTACTAATAAATTATAGGTAATTTATAGATATACCAACTTATTATAAAGATTCATATTTATAATTATATAAGTAAATCTTAGTAACTAATTATACATTGAATTTTAAGTAACTATATTCTAAACATTAACATCTTAATCTGAAAGAAAGTTATGCAAGTTTTATTAATAAAATAATTATAAAAATTAAAAATATAACAATTTTTTACTCTAAAATATTTCCGCGGTAAAATAATGTTTCACTACATAATTTTGCATTGAAAAGATTTTTTCAAAATTTACTTTATAATTTATTTATTCAGCAAACAGAATGAAAAACATTAATTAATTGGATACAGAAAAATGAGGACGTAAGGCAACATATTTTTATGTACTCTTCGGTAATTCAGCTTAAATCACAAACTTAATACAATTATTAATGTAATTAGATCTTTATTAATGCTGAAATTTATATATTTTAAAGGTATGGCATAATATATCTAAATACATAAAGATTTTCTGTCTTTGTACAGATTATCTAAACAAAATATTTATTATTATTATATATCAAACCGTTTCGAAAAAACGTCATTTCTAAATCGACAACACCCGCATGTGTATACTCAACTTAAATCAGATAATCAGTTTTTTTTTTAGTTTTGGTTCAAGAATAAACTTACAAATCTTATTTAAAATTATTAAATAATGAATGAAAAGTGTCGCTTGTCTATAACTGCCTTATTTATTTTTGCTTATTATAATCTTAGGCGGATCACACACTGTAATGCGCCGATGCGCGACTGGACCGTGGAACGGGTACACGCGCTTGGTGGCAATCACGCACGCCATACCGTGCGTATTGTCTCATCAGAATTGCTAAGTCCTTGTCCGGGCTTTAAATTAAATTAAATAGAAAACAGATTTAGTCCAAAAAATTTAAAATGGTATTTCAATGGCATCTATTTAGTATTTAGCCTATTTTCTTAATAAAATACAAAATTTTGGATGCACATTTATTTATACAAAATAATTTCTTGTGAAATTAATAATCAAGGAATATTATAAAACCTGTATTAAATAGAGATATAAAACATTAAAAATATTGTCCGCGACGGCTTTGGAAGCTAGCGTTTTCGTAAAAAGGCCCAAAAACAAGTGAAAGGGTGTGAGCATCATGGTCGTAACATTATAGAGTATTTTAAAAGTTGAACATGATCAACATGAGACTGTACTCGGCAGAGCAAGCAGTCTCGATATACTAATTAGGATGGAGGATTACGGAAAAATCGGCGGCGTTTCACATATCGTCGTTGAAAAAGTTGCAGTTTTGATATGTGCCTTCCTTGGAGACAATGCCTTCATTGTCATTTGGCGTATGCAATACGCCTAAAAATCAAACCCCATTATTTTGTTTCAGTAAAATATAGATGGTCGTACTAGAACACGTCTTCAAGTGTATCATAGATAACACTACCATTGACTATGAGATTCGTTCCACATTTAATTTGTAGAAATATCTAATAAGTATTTAACGTTATTGTCGGAATTCTTTTCCAATATTATTAAACAAAAAGGTTCAATATTAATTTCAACCTTCATAATTATGAAGAAATAGTTTAATTTTAGTAAAATAAATAAGAAAAATGTTGCCATGTTAACAGGAATTAAAATTTTAGTAGAAACAATTATATTACCGAGGAAAATCCAAACTACATTAGTAAAACTTAGTTTGTAAAATAAAAAGCATATAATTATAGAATAGCAGTTGAACATATATACATAGCAGAAAATATTGCCAAGAATAAGAAAATGGTAAATTACTACCATGCAGAACTCAAAAAATGTAATCGGTACAGTATAATTTTTATTATGTACTCATAGTACCTAACTTTTCATATAGAGAAAAAACACAAAATTTTAGTGTTTATTTTTGCAACTGAAAAATTAGATAATTAATAAGTAAAAAATCTAAAAGAATATTATCGTTTTTGTCTAGTATTACAAAAATGAATAAGTAGTTTAAAATTATTTAAATTTAGTGTTAATATTGATGTGCTTTTTATATATTCTAGGAACACTCATATTGAAGTCGGCAACATTTACAATTATCTGACAATTTACAAGTAAAAATAATAATTTGAAAATAATAACTTCAATAAAAAATATTTAATGTGCTTTTCATACAGCATATGAAATAATTTTCATTATTTATTCATATATATTACTATAAGTAATTCCTACTTCCATCCAATTGCTAATGCAGATTGAACTATGTGACAATATGTAAATTGGTTTAATGTTAGCAATAGAACAAGTTACATAAACTGAATATTTAGCAAATAATTATATTTGATACTTTATTTATCAATCACTTAAAAGAGATTTTGTAAATTATTCTATTAAAAACAATTATTCACTTGAACTTTGACAGCTAATGCAATGTTGCCTGTTTACCAGTAAAGATCCTTTACTATATAATCTTTGTTTACTTGAGACACTGTAAAAAAAGAATTTTTGAATTTAATTACTACCAATATTACAACACTTGACTTTTAGACTGTTCTAGGGTAAAATATTTAATGCTGAACAGGATTTGTATTCAAAATATACATATAATAAGACATTAGATATTAACTGTCAATAGACTGCAAAATTATGCTCATGATGTATTAATACAGAGTTTAATTATTGATAAAACACAATGTTTTAATTATAATTGATGCTAATTTAACAGATTATTCTTTGATAATTAAAACTAATATTTTCATCACCTTAGTGATATAAATAGTATATAGAGTACAGGAATTTAAATAGATGCAAAACATTAGAACTTATCAACATAAAATGAATTTACAAAATTTGTAATACATCTCAGTAAGGTATCAGTAAATTCATATATTAATTCAGCTAACACAACACATATGGGCTATTCAGTTCTGTATCATTGACAATCTGTAACAATACTTGTAGATCCTCCAAACTTGATATAAACTTTGGTGCACCTACAAACTCAACAGTCTTTCCATCAAATTCTATAACATACTTTAAATTCTTAGGGCATTTTACTGATTTAGAACATGTTCCATTAACACTTTTCTTGAATATAACATGAGTAACATCAACCTTAGGTAATAACACATTTTCCTGCTTACTTTTCTTATCGACACTCACATTTTCTGCTTTTTTCTCATTTTCCAGTATCACATTCGTTTCTTTACTTGTACTGAGAGTTTGAGGAATTGCACTGATTTCCATAGAGGTTTTATTAACAGAACTGTCAGAAACTGTTGTATTTATATTAATTGGTTCTGGATCACAGGCCACTGGTAAGTGTTCTTCAATTCCCTTCTGCAATGCCTCGTCCAATATTGAAGGGCTATGTGGATTTTCTATTTCATCTATAACTGGGGTAACAGGAGCCAGTTCCACTTTTGTATTACTCCCAGTGCTCTCAGTACCTTGAATAGCATTTAACTGTGCAACATCTTCAATTAAATTGCTCATAATAGTGGTATCTACCTCCATGGGTGTAGATTCTTGTAATTTAGGCTCAGTTTTGCCTAGAAGCATGGCTTCAACATCACTAGACTCTAAGTTTGTTTTAAATTCTACTGAACTGCTTTGGTCACTTGTTTTGTTGTCATTATCACTTGAATTGTCATTGAGAATATCCATTATTGAAGGGAAATCATCAATTTTATTTTTATCAAGTTCCGACTTTGTATCATTCTTTTTTTCAGGTTTTTCGTTGTACATGAGATCTTCTAACTCTGCTGCTATTCTGTCATACACTTTATCATCAGTTGGTTCCTCATTTTTTGGAAAATATTCTATGCACCACTCTTCTGATGGCAATATACTTTTGTTGATGGCAGGTAGTAGGGCAGACAATGTTATATGATTTTTCTCTTTATTATTATTATTAGTAGAAGGGTCTACAAATATTATACCATAACGTTTCAAGTGTGAAGCATTTTTTCTCCTTTTGTCATCATATTGAGAAATATTGATATTTGAGTTTTTATCTGTCACCGCTGGAGTCTTCTTTAGTCTATTAATCTCTTTTAATACATTATTTGAAGACCTTGAATTTGGCGGATCATGTATTCTGACTCTCTTAGGGCTTAATAGTTCTTTAACAGGATGTTGATTGTAGGCAGTTCTGTGGATTAGAACCATTCCATTTTCATTACTCTTCAATCTTTTATTTGAATTCGGAGATGAAACCTCGTTCTTTTTCGCTTTGGGAGTCGAGTTGCTCTCATATTGAATTTTTACTTTGGTGAATTTTCCCAGTATCTTGGCAAAGTCCATGCGAGTTACAACAACAGCACATTCCCGACACTTTCCTTCTCTATAAAGTCGTTCTATGTTCTTAGGCATTTTAGGAAGCCTTGACCTCCTGGATTCACGAATTCTATGAGAAATCATATTGACGCATAAATATTTGCTGTTATTCAATAAAAATTACTGGTTAGTTGACAGAGGAAGATCAGATATGGTTACATTTCCCGCGCACGATATTAGCTCACTATTTCACAAGTTAATGGATCACTTTTATGTCTCATGGAATGCTTACAATAAGTAGATTTAAAATATTTTTTACATACAATGAAATAAAATATGTTTACAACGAAAATACAAATAATTATTTAAAAATGACACGGAGAAGACTCATAGTCAACGCAAAAATGGCGTCACTTTAGTGATGTCCATCGACTGTCAGATTTGAAACGATCTAAATATCGATAGAGACAACTCTCTACTCATACTCTCTTACTTTTTAGATATATCCAAATAATGAAACGGTCCCAATTAATAAAATGCAAAATAACGAACCATGAAATCATGCTTGTAATAAACGTGACCTTAATCAATTAAGTATTCTAACATAATATGATATATCAGATTTGTTATGATATTATATATTATATTATTAAATATGTAAGTTCATAAGTGAAAAAATATATTTGACGAGTTTTATATATATGTATGTAACTCATGAAATGTTTTAATATTTTTAAAATCGGTTAGGATTTAATCCAAATACCAATGTATTTATATAGCAGTAAAAACTTTCTTAATGTTAAAAAAGCAGAGACGTAATAGTTAATTTAGAACTACTTCATTTAAATTCAATACCTTAATATTTTTAATTGAACATAAAACCGAAGTAGAATTTATCTAAAGCGAAAGTATGCATTGATTCTTGATCAGAGCTAAAGCTGGCGCTAAAACTCTATTTATTTCTAAAGTGCAAGTAAGATGTTGACTGATGAAGACTATATTATTATAACTTTTTAAACTTTAATCTTTTAACTGATCTGGTTTCAGTTAACGTATCCTAATGAATTCAATAAGAATTTAACATCATAGTTTTCATGAGGGACCTCGTAGAGATCAATATATTAGGGTATATTTAAAACTACGAGGATTAATGTCCCCAATACTAACGATTCCATTCATTCTCATTCATGATAGTGTTATTAGTCAATAAATTTAAAAATACATGTCATTTATACGTAACTATTATCTACTGCTTATGCTAATGGTGCTATACTAGTAACAGTAAAGCTCACGTGAATGGGAATTAAGACTGGTACTTTTTATAGTCTTAATGGCCTGCGCAGATGGTCAGGAACTTATAGATATTTGATAAATCTCTAATGCTGCGAAAAAGAGTCTGACCTGTAAATTAGAGTAGAGAACACCATCATATTTTATCTAGGTAGGAACTCTTACTTCTCCCAATCCAGGAACACCAACTTATTCAAAGAAAATAAAAAACTTGCAAGATATCAAGTTCTGCCATTAAACTGTGTAAGGATAGATAAAACAGACAATATTCCAAAATAGCATAAAACCAACAAAAGACATTTTTGTGACAAAATAATTTACTGGAAATATATTTTATGTGAAATAATAATAAATAACGACATGTGAAACTGTCAATTGGAATCTTATTATTAAAATAATTTATTATATTACCTACTTTAATTATAAATACAAATTCAAATTATTCTTTATTTAATTACAAAAGTAATTTTGATTGAAATTTATATGAATAATTTAAATATTTTTTTTTTTAGTTTCTAAAAGAGGTTTTATAAATTTTGTTTATATAGTAAATTGTTATCTCAAAGAAAGGCTATGTAACAATTTTTTTTAATAGTTTCTTTTATAATTCATAGAATGGACTTCATTAAAGTAATATTAAAAATTAGCATTTTGAAATATGAAACAATATTTAGAATGGATGATTGCACATCACTAATATTCGCCAAGCCAGCAACGCAATTCAATGAGCACGCCTGGCTAACAAAATGGCCGATCGTTTAATAATATGTCAATACTAGTTGTATGTCAAAAAATATTTTTTTTGATAAAAGTACAATATATATCTTAAAAACTATAACCTAAAAACTGTTAATATAAGTTTAAAATGTCTTGGCCAATACCGCCAGCTGGTCCATGGAATCCAGGTATTCCTGTTCAACCAGTTCCGCCTATTCAGACTATTCAGTCTGTTCAGCCGGTTCAGCCAAATATGAATATGGGATCATATACTCCTGAACAATGGTCAGCCATGCAACAGCAAAACTGGCAACAGTGGGCTCAATGGCAACAGCAATACGCACAGTGGCAAAGTCAATATGGAGAAAAGGTTAGCATCTATTTTTATTCTTAACTAAATAATTCGACCTCCTAGCCTCTATTCAATTTTTTATTATTTTAAATCTGTCTTCTAGCTTCAGGTTACTTTCTTATCAAATATCATCGAAATAGGTGCTAATGGGTGAGGTTGGGGAAAGGGGTTCTTAGTAATAGAGAAAAAGGCGCCATTACTAGGAATATATCTAATCAAATCAGCCTCTACGTGGTCCCACCCCAGATCCATCTTGCTAAATCCAGGTAGATTAATCACTATGGGCTAATGGACCTGCCTTTCATTCACACTCTTCATTCCTCACTTGTGCCCCTCCGACAGATACTATTAGAGCAGGCCAGGTTACCATTCCTTTAAAAAAATAGATATAATAGTTGATGTTTGGTAATGGATGATTTATTGTAAAGGAATCAATTTTCACCCCATAAGAAAAGATTAATCTAAATCTAAATTAAAAATCTGATGTAAAGATTACATGGCTTATTAGTTCCAACTTGCAGCTTTGCTCACATAGATTATGATATAAAGTATCCTCTATATCAAAAACTTTTGTGACAAAGTGTGGCAGTGTCACAAATGTGTTAATTTAAAAAAAAAAAATTATTGATTATTTAAAAAATGCTCTGCAAGTGAACTAACACATTAATCATGCAATAGCATTATTGCTTACTAAGCTGTCATTAAAAATTTTAATATTAAGCAAGAAAAGAAATAAATAAATAATTTAATCGAAGAAGCATGCAGCCCACACAGTAGCAAAACAAGAAGAAAAGAAACGACCAAACAAAAAATTGTATAGTAATATACAAATAAAAAAAAAGTATACAATATATAGTATACATATTTTGATTGCAAAAAGGTATTTAAAAAATTCTGAAGCAAATTAAGAAATGCTGTAAAGTTTTTAATGGTAGATTTGTTAGTAGTGTATTTATTACTGCTCATGTCTATAGGCAACGGTTACCACTTTCCATCAGGTGGGCCTTCAGATTGTTTGCCATTCTAAGTTTTATAAAAAAAAAATATTAATGCTTTAGTTTGTTAACATCTTTGAAAACTGATAGATAATAATCTCTCTCTCTCTCTCTCTGATATTATGACCCATGTACATGCCTATTTCAATTAAAATCTGTTAGCAGTAGTAACATCTCAACAACCTTTTACAATTGTAATGCTAGTACAATTATAATTTATGACTTGGAATGAAGATGCCAAACAAGGTGACTGTCCACCTGATAGAAAGTGGTAATAATTTCTAGCCATGATAGCCATGAATACCACCATTACTTATATCTATGATTACATCAGGTGTGATGTTATTTTGTTTGTACTTCAAATTTTTCTGTTTACCATCAGTCTTAATACTATAAGCATACACAATGAATATAAAATGTCATTAGAAAGAAGGTACAATTTAGTTGTGAGTTTCTTTTATCATACAAGTAGTTTTATTTATGAATGAATATGGTAACCCTATTTGCACATTGGTGTATAATGGTAGGAATGCTATGGAAGGGTGGTGAGACCGCTGGACAGGTGGGGTTATGAAAACGAGATTTAAGTTACTCCTACATTCTAATAGTACCTACTGACTACTTATTTTTGTTATGGATAATTGATTAAAATATTAGTAAAACAATTATGTTAATTCTTTTAGAAATTTAATTTATATTTTAATTGTATTATTTTTGTTGTAGTAATTTATATATGCATGTTTTTGTTTAATATAATTTTCTGATAGTTTTTTTTTTTGTTTTGAAAAAGGAAGATGTTGGATTATTATTCACAGTTATGTAGGTAGTCACATTATAAAATATTCAAGGTAATTTGTAATAATTTGCATTATAATAAATCAGTGGTTGTTCCAAGCTCTTCTTTCATTGACGTGCTGCACCTACGTGCGTGACGTGTTGACAGGAATCACAGAAAAATAGATAAGGATGAAAATAAGTCATCTAGCCCCTTGTGACAAATCTATTAGCAATTAATCACAATATATTTCAAGGGGTAGGGGACATGGAGGTTGACCTGATAGGGTAAATTGTTGCAATGAGGCCATTAGATCAGTATATGTGAAGTATGATAGGTGAGGATAAAAAGGCAGGACAGTTAGCACATTATGATGATTTCACTAGCATAATAATTTCCAGGGGAGATTTATATTTTACTTTTAAATAGAAGTATGCATTTAAGTGCCATGAGGTTCCAGTATAGAATAGGCCACTCTTTCCTTTCGGTATTGTAAGAGGTGACTAAGGGAGGATGAGGCATGGGTACAGTGTCCCTTTTTAAACAACTTCAAAGCTTAATTGTGGTCGTCGATCCGCCTGCCAAGCATGGCAACTATTGGCAAAACCCCCTAAGGGGGAGACTTATGTTCAGAGTAGCAATTACAACTGACAAAGTACTTCAAAGGTTGACTGGAAGAGATCGCTTGTATGAGATAAGTCTGCCATTGTACTCATTCTTTTCTTAAGAACTGTGTAGGATAATTTAATATTTTCCTGGACAATAAAGTGTTACAAACAAACAAATTTTGCACGGTCTCAGTCTAGATTGTTATTTTACAAAATTATTGTTTCAAACTTCAACTACAACACAGTATTTGGTGTCATAATAAAAGTAGCTCTTGGTTACTAGTTTATGATGATGTGGATTCATATGTGATTATTATAATTTATACAATTGACACATTAAAGGCGATCTTGACGAAAGTATGCTAGGTAACCCAGCGATTTTGCCACTTCTCCATGACGAGTATACTTGTCAATCACAGTTAAGCTACAGTAGAGATAAATTGTATTACTACGACTCCCACCCTTAATGTGTTAATATTTATGCTATTTAAAATACACCCTGTCTGTGTATTGATGGACTCTATTGTGACTGCATGTATTTTGTGTGTTAATTTTCAGATTTAAGTAGGCTCAAAGAAATTCAACTGCATGTTAATGTAAAGTTTCTACATAAAACTTATCTCAAAAATATTTAGAAGGCAGTCAAAAACATTATTGCAGTTTCTTTGATATGATTTGATGTAGAAGGAAATTTTCTATCAGTACATTGATTATTATTATTATTATTATATTGTTTTGTATGTTACAGTATGAACAACAAATGCAGGCTATGCAATCTATGGGGGGATTCATGCCCCCTTTGCCGCCTGTCTCCGCTCCGCCACCGGCGCCTCCACCGCCAGAGAATCCACCACCCCCTCCACCCCATGAGAATAATCAGCCCCTCTATATACAGAAAAACCAACCAGCACCAGTTCCTGCACCAAATAATAACAATGTTAGTGTTGGTGCAGGACCCTTTAGTAATACTAGTGCCAATTCTGGAACAGGTAATAATAAACAATGGTATGGTTCAGAGAAACCTGAACAACAATCAACCATTGACAATGAAGCTTTAAAGAAGCTAGCAGAGGAGCAGAGACTTTTTGACATTCAGTTTCAGAAATGGGAAGAAGAGATTGAGAAGTGGAGACAGGAGAATGTAAACCATCCAGATAAGGAGGCATATAAAGAATATGAGCAAAAGTTTGAGGCGTGTCGGGCACAACTTTTAGAGCGACGGCAGCAGATGATCCAAAAGAAAGCTCGACTACTAGGTAAAGATCCAACGGCAGCAAATAACCCAATAACAGGTAATATTTCTACTGCAGTTCCACCTCCATTACAGAACATGAATAAAAATAACTTTAATCAAAGTAATGTGCCTAAGCAGGATTATAAAAGGGCTGGTCAGAATTATACAGATCAAGGTAATGCAAATCCTTCTTATAATCCGTACAACCAACCTCCTCCATCTGGCTATAATAGAAATGTCAACAAAAATATTAACCCACATGATAAATATCAGCATGAGGCAGGCAATTATTCTGCAGCTAACAAATATTCTCATAATGATAACTATTCTGGTAATGATAACTACACTGAGAATGATGCCTATAGGAATAATTACTCCGAGAATGATAATTATTCTGGGAATGATAACTATTCTGTTAATGATAATTATCCTGGAAATGATAATTACTCTGCTAATGATAATTACGTGGGTAATAATGACGGTTATCCTGAAAATAATGGCGATTATCCAGGTAAACCAGATAATTCCACATTCTTACCTGCAAATAGATCCAGTGCTGGTATTCCAGGATTAGACTTGGTACCTGAAAAAGATAAAACATTACCACAATCACATGAGGTGATTGACATAACTGATGAACCTGTAAAAAGTCAGGAGGTGAGAGGACCTGATTATTCAACTATATCTAAGGGAATAAAAAATATACTTGGAGATGAAAAAATTATGAATATGTTGTCAATGGTTCGTGATCAGACTATGATTGGTAATCAAAATAAGAGTACTCCTAATGTGCCAATGAATACAAATATCCAGAATATGGTACCAAACAACCAATGGGATAGGAATGCTGGTAATTTCAACCAGCAAGTTGTTGACAGACAGATGCCTTATGGTAGACAAGATTTCAATTATCCAACTCAACCCAACCAAGAAACAAATTATCCACCACAAAGAAGAGATATTCCGCCACCTCAGAATAGGCCATTTGATGATCAAAAAGTAGCACCTGGTCAAGACCGCTATTATGATAGAAATAATCAATATGGCCCTCCTGGGATGAATCATAAGGGTCCACTAATACAAGACAATATGGCGCAACCAAGACCTTTAATGGAACTGAGACCATTGATTGATAATAATAGAAACATTCAAGATAATAGAAGCATGCAAGGTAATAGGGGCATGTTAGATAATAGAGGCATGCCAGATGATAATATAGACATGTTAGACGATAATAGAGGTATGCCAGGTGATAATAGAAGCATACCAAATAATAGAGGTATGCCAGATAACAGAGGTATGTCAGATAACAGAGGTATGTCAGATAACAGAGGTATGCCAGATAGTAGAGGCATGCCAAATAATAGAGGCATGCCAAATAATAGAGGCATACTAGATAATAGAGGTATGCGGGATGTTGAGGACATACAGAATGTTATGCCCATCCATAATAACCAACAAATAATCAATCAACCTCCAAGGCCGAAGTGGGTTGAAGAACCAATGTTCACTCCATCCCTAATAGTTGAATATGAACACAAGCCTTTAAGACTTAAAGGTCAGTTGATTCATTTTCATAATTATTTTTGGTTTTTTTCTTTATATGAATGCCTAATGTATATACAGCAGTTTTCTTTTATGTGAATGCTATATTACTTTGCGAAGTCAAAATAACATTATTCAAGGCGTATTGCCCATCGTTCTATACGAGCAGCTTGTGAATTGGCGATCTACGGCGAGCACTGCGCTGTGCGTGTTCAATACAATAATGTTTTCAGGGTGTAATTATGGTTGCCATGTTTTTGTAGTGCATACACAATATTTGCAACTCTGTAGCAGCAGTAATAACATTTTGAGGGCGTTATGTCATAAATATAATTGTCCAGCCAACTCATTTAGGGCTAGAATTATTATAGATACCATCAAATGATTTCATAGTCATCTGTAATAAAAAAAATTATATATAGATGTTAATACTATATATTTTTGAAACTGGATTTTGAATTTGAAACAAGTTCTATTACTGTGTCCATTAAAAAAAAAAAAATAAACAACTCAAAACATCTATGGAAAAATAACGATAAATAGTCCAGAATAAGTGAAAGCTGTACTGTGGATACTAGACGACTAGTCATATTTGGATCCCAAATATTTTTGTACATGTATCATTAAAATAATTAGAAAATACACACATGAAACATGTTCAGCAAATGATAATGCAAATTAATATGATCCTAAAAATATTATACCCTTCATCTTCATCATCATCCTTTAACTGATCACTGCTGAACATAAGCCTCCCCCTTGGAGGGTTTTGCTAGTAGTTGCCACGCTTAGCAGGCGGATTGGTAACCGCAGTTGGCTTTGGAGATGTTTTAAGAGGGACTCTGCTGCCCTTCCGTTGCCTTCCCTTAGTCGCCTTTTACGACACCCACGAAAGTAAGGGGCTATTCTATACCGGGACCACACGGCATTATACCATTAGATAAAGATTTATTGGCTTTATTTTTTACCTAAAACTGTTTGCTGATGTCCATTAGTAGTAAAAATCAAAAATGGATTGTAACTAATTTCGCATTGAGTAAATTTGTGATAATTCCATTAAAGCTTTGTTACATTTTCTTTTAGTTTTTTTATATTATATTTTATAAAGCAAAATTTCGAGTCTATTCTGAGACGTTATTTTTCTAAAATATCATATCGAATTCTATATGCTCAGGACCAATATGGACTAAATTTCTAATAGATTTGATTCAAAATTATAATAAATTTAATTTATAATGATCTTTAATGCAATAATTTCGCAAAACTATCAAATTCAAATATTAGTTTAAGAGTTAAGAGAAGTGGCGTTTCAGAATCGAGGCCATTGGTGAGTGACATTATTATTTTTCTATTTTAGCTCGTGACTTCATTGAACCTGTACACATGTTCGATTACAACCACAAATCAAAAGACGGTGAAACCAGAGACGATTTTGAAAAGGAAGTTGTCGATTTGTTTACAAGGAAACCTAGGAGACCTGAAGTGGATGATGATTATATGAACGCTGATAGATATACAAGAGATCAGTATTCCAGAGATTATGAGAGGCGGGCGCCAAGAAATGATTATAGAGATGATTATCGTCCAAGGATACCGCCTAGAGACGAATTTGATGATAGGCGAAGGTTTGATGATAGGCATGATGATAGAAGGCACGATGATCGCGACAGAAACGCTAGGCGCGATGATATGTACAAAGACAGAGAACGGGATAGAGACAGGGACAGAGATAGGGAGAGAGAAAGGGATAGAGATAGGGAAAGGGACAGAGACAGGGAAAGAGATAGGGAGAGAGATCGGGAAAGGGAGAGAGAGAGGGATCGGGACAGAGATAGGGAGAGAGGAAGAGACAGAGATACGTTTAGAGATAGAGACACGTTTAGAGATAGAGACACATTCAGAGACAGAGACACATTTAGAGATAGGACCAGAGAGATTAAGAGAGACGACGATAGAAATAGGAGTACTAGTATCGATAAAGATCGTAAGAGAGGGCGTAGCAAGGAGAGTGATGTTAGTGAAAGCTCAGAATCGAAGAAGCTGAAAGATTTAAAACAGAAACCACCCAGTCATATTGTGATGATTGATGATCTCTTGGAGATGCCCGGGCGGGCGATGCGGCCGGAGAAAATTGTCATCATACTTAGAGGTAATTTTTAAACCATTTGTAACTAGCAACCCGTCCCGGTTTCGCGCGAGTACACATTACATCACGTCACATTAGAAACCTCTAAAATTATCAGTGTTTCTTCACTATATTATTCATGTATTATATATATAAACCTTCATCTTGAATCACTCTATTAAAAAAAAAACCGCTTTATAATCTGTTGCGTAGTTTTAAAGATTTAAGCATACATAGGGACGGACAGACAGCGACAGCGACTTTGTTTTATACTATGTAGTGATTCTTTTATCTCACGAAAGTAATTTTTACTCTTTCACTGTTATTATTTCAACAAAACACACTTCATAGTAATATGAAGGGAAACTTTGTACAAAAATCGTTTGCTTGGGTGCCTCTGTCCCATTCGTGTTTCAACCGTGAAGCAGTTGTGTTTGCATGGCTGTGTTTCGGTTTGAAGGATGGGATATGGCGTGAATTTACAGGGTACAGAGGAATAAAACCCGAGTCCTCAGGAATGGAAATGCATGGGAGGTATCATGGGCAAAACAGTACACTCTGTTATGGCCATGGTACTGCTCATGTTTATAGGCGACGGTTATCTTTTTCCATCAGGTAGGCCGTCAGCTTGTTTGTCATTCTGAGTTGTATAAAAAAAAAAAAGCTAAATCAAATATGTATTATTATGTATCATGTATTATTTATTTATAGCAAGGCAACAGATTACAAATTAATACATTAATAAAATAAATATTACATAAAACAGCATTAAATTTGCACTCCAATAATGAATGTTATGCACTGCTCTGCATAACATTCGTTATTATATACAAATTAAAAAATGATGGCTATAAATTTAAAGTAACAAATTGACATCTTTAATGTAACATTGCAAGGATTGTTGGAAAATATCAAGGTCCTTGCATACATTGTTATATTTTCTGCACATGCGGATAATTGGATTGTGATACATAATATATTATAATACATACATAATATATTGATACATAATATAATATATACATACATTATTATTACAAATCGGTATATAAAATATTTTTTGTATTCTTTTATTACCTGTACGAAATGAAACAAGGCTCAACAATGTGCTACTGTCCCATTTATAGTTAAATATTTTATAGAGAGTGATGAAATCAGATATATATATAAATATCTATATAAAATCAATTTTCCTAGAACTCTCGTTTCGAAATTTCAATTATCGTATTAAATTAATCTAGATTGATATCTTTAGTGAATGATTATAAATTGTAATTTGAAAATACATGTAAATAAGTATTATACTGGAAAATGTATTTCGGGACTCAGGATTCGACTTTGTATCCCTCGGCTTTCCAAGTTGAGTCTGTATCCAATCACTATTAAATATACAGTTTTTAATTTTCTTTAAACTTTTATCATAAGTAAAATAATCTTAATTTTTTTAAATCAGAATTCCTAGTGATTTTTTAAATATGTAAAATCCTTTAACATAAATTATAAGAATGCTTAAAACTGTTTTGTTTATTTCTAGGTCCGCCTGGCAGTGGTAAATCATATTTAGCTAAATTAATCAGAGATAGGGAGGCAGAGCATGGTGGCACAGTTAGAATCTTGTCAATAGATGACTATTTCATGCAGGAAGGCGAGATAGAAGAGAAGGATCCAGCTACCGGCAAAATTGTATGTGTATATTTTTTAACACCTCGAGTGCTAGGGGGGAAAGGGATTGTTAGTAATGGAGACTGAGAATCCTATTGCTAGCAATATACCCAACCAGGTCGACTGCGAAACTATCGTTAATTCCTGATGTATACACTGGTTCTCCGCCAGCGTATCCTGTTAGCGCAGGCGGGGTTACCATACCATTTTCACCCATCAAAAAAAACATCTCGAGTGCTTAAATTCTTATATCCTGGGTATGGATGCTAAATACTAATATAGATTTTTGAAGATGAAATTCTTGTAGTATAGTTTTTTTCTTTATTATATTTTCACTATGGGGTAAACTGTTATTTATATATTTCGTCTTTATGTTTATGACCTTAATGTGAGTTTGACGACATAAATTTCTTTATGACAAAGTTAACATGCAGTAAGTTTTGTGCATCGATGACGCCTTATAGTTGTTCGAGTGTTAACACAAAGTAGGTATGTCGTTAGTATATATTCAATATGATGCCTACAGCCACTTTCTACCATCGTACGGCTCGCCATCGACAGGGAGTTCACCCTCATACCTTACAGCCTAAATGGTCGCGTACAACGCGGTTTCAGAGATGTTTTCTCCCACGAACACTCAGGTTATGGAATGAGCTCCCTGCCGAGGTTTTCCCAAGAGACTACAGCATGGGGTTCTTCAAAAGGGGGGTAAAGAAGTTTCTTTAGGGTCGGCAACGCGCGCGTAATACCTCTGGTATTGCAGGTGTTCATAGGCTACGGTAACCGCTTACCATCAGGTGGGCCGTATGCGTGTTTGCCACCTCAGTGGTATAAAAAAAAAATATCGGTCATAATTTAAATATTCTTTATTACACTAATACATACAGTAATAATAACAATTAGAAACAATATAAGTAAAGGTGAACTCGTCTTTAAAAGAGATATGTTCCAATCAACCTAACACAGTGGCATAGGGGGGAAAAGTGATTGAATAGAATAGAATAGAAACATTTATTGCCGTACAATTACAATATAAAATATAAATAACATATACAAAAAGTATCCCCCGCACAGCTGATGCGTCCCAGCGCAATGTTACACATTCCATTATCATTCATTAGTTAAAAAAAATTACTATTACGTACTTTCGCCACGTTAATTGTAAACACAATTATATCATTTCAGGTAAAGCACAGGCGGTTTTTTTTTAATGGGTGATAAACCCCGTCTGCCTCTTTGAAATACGAATAGGGGGATCCACGTGGAGGTCGACCTGACAGGGTATATTGCTAGTAATAAGGCTATTTGACCCCATTACTAGCTTAGAGGACACATTATCATTCATTAAAAAAAAAAAAATACTATTAATTCGTTAATTGTAAACACAATTATGAAGAGAGTTTAGAGGACACATACCTTAATTCAAAGAGAACTATTACTGATGGTTACTTCACATTTTTAATATACGACGCCACGAATGAACACTTACGATGTTACGCAGATATATGGAATTATGCCCGACAGAATAGTTTCCAGGTATTTTAATTTTTTAATTCTTTTTTTTTTCAGAAGTTGTATTAGTAAAAGGCATCTTCAATAATAATAGATATTATTTTATCTATTGTTATTGGAGACCTGTCTTTTTGCCATTTATATGTAGACATTCTATGTAATCCTATGTAATTACCAGAGAGAGACTTTATACAAAAGTCGATTGCTTGGGTACCTATGTCCCATTCGTGTTTCAACCGTGAAGCAGTTGTGTTTGCATGGCTGTGTTTCGGTTTGAAGGGTGGGATATGGTGTGAATTTACTGGGTACAGAGGAATAACACCCAAGTCCTCAGGAATGGCAACGCATGGGAGGTATCATGGACGAAACAGTATGTGTGTGTACTGTTATGTCCATGGTACTGCTCATGTCTATAGGCGACGGTTACAACTTTCCATCAGGTGGGCCGTCAACTTGTTTGCCATTCTAAGTTGTATAAAAAAAAATCTAAGACACTGTCATGTAGCAGTGACTTCAACGTTCCTATTGCATATTGGAGAAGCCTATATTCCATGGAGGTCAAATATAAAACAAACGGGTTCATGTTACAGGTTTACGTTTGCACGCTGGAGCTAGACGCACAAACGTGCTTTAAAAGGAACATCCACAATCGTAGCTTGGAAGACATTCAAGTTATAGTGACGCGCTTCTTCGAAACGCCAGCACATCACATACAACTGGACCCCACCACGTTACTCCAGAGCGCGGCTATCACTGAGGTTCAGATGGAGGACGCCGTGGATGATGTAGTCATGGAGGATGTCGAAGAAACTGAGGTGAGGAGATGACCATGGATCACAGGCTACGACATATTTTTATTATGGTTGTGTTCTATTTATCAAGCCATTTCTATAACAGTGATAAATGCATGTAATTATTTTAATACACTCCAACTGTGGGCAAAATAGGTTTAACATGAGTTATTTAATTATTGTCTATTAGTGAATGGTAAATACTTTTTAATATTTTTTTTTTTGGGTCAAAGAATGCATTTGCTATTAATTTTTGAAAGAAAAGTGACAGTGTTGAAGTACATAGTTTTTGGTATGCAGACTTTAAATCTACGTATAATCTCTTAGAGTTAATAATTTTGATAATATTATTTTTTAATTTACTTAAACTTAAGTAGCTTTTCTGAATGCAGGCTACAATGTTTTTTTTTTTTGTACTACAAAGTCAAAGACTATGAAATTATTAATTTTCTACGTATTATTTTTAATTTGAAACATATGTAGCATCTATAACTTTCTTACAATGTACAGTTGGAAATTATGAACATTTTATTTTTTTATATACAAATTTTGGGGCGTAGAATACATTTGAAATTTATGTAGTGTATGTTAGTATTTGTAGGTTGTATTATTTTTTTATTTGGGAAAGAGAATATTCGAACGAAGAATTTCAAAAGTAGATTACATAATTCGTTCATCGAACGATATTAATTATGATGAGTTTGGTTTGTTTGCTTTTTTTGGGTCTAAGAACAATTGAAAAGCATCTATTATTGTAGGCTGAGTGGTTTTATTATAAGGTTTAAATGCCATCTTTATATTTCTGTGATTGTCCCTTAATTTTTTTTTTTTTGTATGTAGATAGGGTAGGGCTAATAACTTTTATTGCAGCATCTTTACTAAACACGTAAGATGGTGGTCGATCGCAGGTGGAAAGCGTTTTTACTTCCAAGTGGGAGCGAATGGACGACGCCGCGCAACTAGGTAGGTTATCGATGGGATTGCATACGCATTATTTTTTTTTTTAGTGTTACCAAAAACCGCATACACGTGTTTTATTGAGTTATTTTACATTGTGAGGTATTTCAAGAATAGTGATCGCGAAGAGAATCTTTAAATCTATTACAGTGACATTAGATGTTCATGGCTTCGGTTTTTTAATTAATTTATGTTAAGGGAAATTTAAAAATGGCGGACATTTATCGTCCTTTAGTCTTTTTTACGTACGTTACATAAAAAAAAAAATGTATCTTATTGCGTCGGTTTACTAAAGAGGTGCAAAAGAAAAACCGATTTTTTCTTCAATGGCAATATTTAAAAGATATAAATTTATAATTTATGAAGGAGATAAATGATCTTTTCGATTGGTACTTGTCATGGGGTATAATTTTTATTCATATTAAGATAAATACAAAATGGCGGGTAGTTATATCTCACTTAAAACATATAGAACTAAAATGGCTTTTAAATGATAATCTTACCTACAAATCTAAAAGGAAATTAAAATTTCTGTGTGTACGTTTTGTGCAACATTACCCATATGTACTTATTATATTTTACAATGTATTCTATATTTATGATTATTGATAAAATTACAAAATGGCAGTTATTTGTATTTGCTTGCATTTGTCTGAATTATTCTATTACATCAGCCGTTAACTGCCCACTGCTGAACATTGAACTCCCCTATAAGGGGCGTTTTGCCAGTAGCTGCCACGCTTGGCAGGCGGGTTGGCAACTGCAGTTAGGTTTTGGTGATGTTTTACAAGAGACGCTGCTGTTAATCTCTCGTCTATTAACACCCCTTAGTTACCTCTTAAAACATTAATGCGAAAGGAAGGGGTAGCTTTATTCTATGGCTGCAAAATGGAATAGGTTTTTTGAATGCTACGTTTAATATATTGTAATCCCAAAGTGGTATATGCATAACGTAATGTCTAAATATATTGGTGCTTTGTTCTAGCCCGCCTCGACGGGATCAGTAAGCCGCTACGACCATCGCACCTCTCAATGGAAGACTACCTTCAGTTAGACGACTGGAAACCGAACGTTGCTAAACCTGGCAAGAAAACTGTAAGTATAATAATTTCTAACTTTCAATTTGTAGTCAATAAATATTATAACTTTAACTAACTTTAGTGATCTCGAACTTATGGTCTGCATTCCGATATGGTTGTGGAAATGTACTGTACTAGTATTCGTTTTGACCCGAAATTTCCACTTGGAAGTTATTGAGGGTTATAAAGCGTTGCCATAAAGGTGGGTAATGCCTTTTATTATGTATTTAACATTGAACCATGTAGTTGGGAGAATTCTAGATTGATTCCTAGATTGAGGAGATTGAAGAGTGGTCAATAAAGTTTTACTAAGTTAATGTACACAACAAGTTTTGAAATATTTTTTTTTTTATTTTGCGACTGTTATGCGTTTGACTAAAACAATTGGTCACGGAACTTGTCGAACTCTCGTGTGCAGTCCCCAACACGCTCCCGCGGGAGCTGTATTTTTTTTATACAATTTTACAACCATATCCAATTTTAAATTTTCGACGTTTTCCGTTTAATTTTTCGTTTTGATACTCGCAAGAGTTCCGTTGTAACTCGTCAAGACGATTCGGTTACCGATTGGGTTTTTTTAACAGTAAAAGGTGAGTTAGCAATGTCTGAAGTACAGTGTGGCGGTGGATTTCATCCTTTGTACTTGAAACAGGTACGCTGGGCCGATATAGAAGAAAGAATACAGCAGGAGAAGATGCGCGCAATCGGTTTTGTTATCGGCCAAACGGATTGGACTCGTATGACGGATCCTACTATGGGCTCTAGCGCTCTCACTCAAACAAAGTATATAGAAAGAGTGAGACGCACATAAAAAAAATATTTAATTGCTCTAATACGCAGGGTTGACACAACGTCATGTAGGGTACAGAAGTACAAGTATGGTTGTGGATGACGGAATGAATGATTAAAAAATCATTGTATGTAAATTATTTATAATATTATATTTGTGAGTGTGTATGGTGTGAACAGAAGTATTTTTTTTAATGGATGATAATGGAATGGTCACCACGCCTGCGCTATCGGTATACACTGGTGGGACACCAGTGAAGGGTGATAGATTATGATAAAGCAAATCAGTTAGCCCATTGTGACAAATCGAACAATAAATCAATTACGATGGGTTTCCACGTAGAATCGAGGGGAGGGTATATTGCTAACAATGGGATTATTAATATTCATCACTAACATTCCCTCCTCTACCAGGGGGTAGAGGAGAGCAGAGGATAACAGAAGTGGCGTTTCATTTTTAACAGACAAATAAACAGTTATTTTAAAATGGGATATAATTTTTATATTGAAATGCAAAGAATCATGTGATTGGAATTGTCTCAATGATTTATGAATTCATCACCATCATCACCTTCCTATCCTTATCCCAATTATTATTTGGGGTCGGCATAATATGTTTTCTTCTTCCATTCTTTTCTATTCCCAGTTATTTCCGCATTCACTCCCATTCTGGCCATATCGTCTTTCACACAATCCATCCATGTCTTTTTAGATCTTCCTGTGCTCTTATAGCCATCTACATTCATTCTTAATACTTTTTTTAAAATATGATTAATGAATTATTGGTACATTATAGCAACAATATCTGTGTCAATTTGAATTCACTGTGAGTGCAGTAACAGTCTGCTTTCTGAATGCGCTAAGGTTTCATGTCCAAAACCTTACAATAGTTAGCTCACATTTTTAAATAAATAGCAACCCTAAATGTAAAAACATCGTAAAGTTCATTTTTTTGTATTATTTTTGAAATTACAAAGACTTTATATATATATATATATATATATATATATATATATATATATATATATATATAAAATCTCGTGTCATGGTGTTTATGGTCGTATTCCTCCGAAACGTCACGACCGAAATTATTTTGTGTATATTTTTGGTAGGTATGAGAATGGGGCGTAAAGTATATTTCATACCATAACGTGATTAAGATGTTCCAATTCAGAAACATTTATTTATATGCCAAAACAACGCTTGTCGGCTTATTTATTTTTTACATAGTTTTTTTTTATTAAGTATTATGTTTTTTTGTATATCTGATGATATAGTATTTATGATAAATATCCTACCAGCGAGCTTAAATAAATGTTTGGCATCTAAATAGTAAATATTAGTACTGATTAAGAAGGTTTATACCATAAGGTCGAGAAAGTCTGTGTACTGTTGAGGCCATTCATGTAGAAAATAGCTTTCTTTCATTGGCATCTCATAGATGTTTCTACATATAACAATAATAGAATTGAAGGGCCTAAACTGAGAGCCGAGTTTGATAGCAAAGTATTTTAGTGATAATGCAATAAGATTCTTAGTGATCTCATTGGAATTTTGGTATTGGTTAATAAAAATGATGTTTTTTTTTTTTATCATCAAATCCCAAAATTTTGCTTGAAAAGTGTGATTGGAAAACATACTATAATTTGTATGGTCGATTTTTTTTTGTATATCTTTTGCTGTAATTTATTGCATTAGGCAATACAATGTTACTTGGATTTGAATTAGTTATAATAAGAAGTGGTAGTGGAAATTGTTTATTTTTTTAATTTTATCGAGTCTTAAGGTATGAACGCTCTTAATGACATTGTCAAAGGAAGATTCTGAAACCGGTTTATTATCCTAACCGGTTTTTTTCTTCTGAACCACTTTTATTTATTACTTATTATTGGTTTGTGAAAAATTATAAATTGTCTGATATCAACTTATTTGCAAAGTAATAAACAATTTTGTTTATAATTTACGTATTCACGTAAATTGCATTAAAGTGCATAGTATGCAATAGTCGCGCGTGGTGACCTTTTCATTATTATCTTGCAATTATTCAGTCTGATAGAAGTAATTAATAGTCTGTAAATGCTAGTGATGAGTTAGTCAAGTTGGTTATAAGTTAATTGTACAATTTATCAATTTAGGTATAATAAACCGGTTACGAATCTAGCGTTCAAGTTGTCGAGAATAGTTTCATGAACGTTTATATTTATTATTTATATTATTTGACTAAACTTCATCACAGTTAATTCTCTTTTAAAATGCAATAAAAACACATTTACGATTGCATATTCACAAAATAGTATATGTAATGTTTTTAGAAAACACAAAAATGTTTTTAAACACTTAACTGTCTATCTAATAATTTTTATATTAAATGTAGATAGTATAATTCATAATAGATTGGTTAGTTTACAATTTGTAAAAAGTTAAGACTTTCACACTTGTCAAAATATGTTTATAAATAAGTATACGTAATAAATAAACTTTTAAATGTAAGCTTTGTATTATTGACCTTATTTTATTTTAATATATTAATATTAAAGGTACATTTATTGTCGCATACATGTTAGAGGAAGTTATTTAACCGTTGTTTCGAAAACCGTTAAATTTGAATTGTCACGACTACTAAGGTTGCCTTTGTATTTCCGCCGCGTTTTCGGCGGCTCGGCCGTGTCGATTTTCATTAAATTATTTTCGATCGTATCAATTACATTTGCGGTGTTCGTTTTATTTAAATCATGTGCGTGTTGGCCACTCTCTTTTATTGCCATTAGACCGGTCTTATCGATTTTTTCCATACTGTTTTTCTTTAAGATCGTCTCGCCCTCTCTTCCGGCAGTCATGACCATTATTTGTGGAGTGCTCATGTCTGTCATATGGTCCCTTATGCACTGTTGGAGAATGTGCAGGAAAAAGAGAAACGCCAACAAAGTGAGCGCGGACATGGCAGCGTTGTTCTTCTGTCCCCCGCCGCCATAGTTGCTGTAACGAAAAAAATAACCGGTTTCATACAATTCGTACATGTTACAGTTTTTTTTTTGATTACGGTTTAATAAAATAATTACGGTTACCATTTTTTTACCGTGTTTCTTTTAACGTAAACTTTTAAACACTTTTTTAGTTATTCACAATTTTTGAATCTAATTACTGGTAGCAGCCAGCTGCTATATAATAAATTTGATATATTTGTTTTTTTCTGTTACATTTAATACACACCGTATTGCAATAAGCCATAATGTAGTGTATAATAAAAGTAATTTTTTGAAATTTAATATTACAATAATTTACATTATTAAATTTTAAAACTAAATTGTTTACTGAACTACTACGAAATATTTGTATTTAAAAGATTAAAAAAAAAAAGAGTCTCAATGCGTCATTGTCAATGGTTTTTAATATTTGTATACTTATAAAAAAAAAAAAAAAAAAACTGAAGCAAATAATAAATGAAAACAATGAAATAATATTATTTACTTCATTGTTTTCATTTATATAAACGGATTAGTATTACAAATTGTAATCAATAAATTATATAAAAAAAATACGATAAAATACGACTAAGAGACTTCGAGAGCATCACTCACTATCGACTCAAGAGACTCAAGATATGTCGCGACTATCACTGGGTTGGTTTCTGTTACGATCAATATTGCTACTATACAGGCCACTGCGGAGAATGGATCTATTGAAACAGCCATATTTATAAAAAAAGCTTATGATGTACCTACAAATTTTTTATGACTTTTGCCCTTGTGGTGAATTTTTTTTTCTTTTCAGCTTTCAAAGTGTGTAGTGTAGACACACGAGGACTATTATTGCCATACTTGAGATTATTTTCAAGGGAGGATATGGCCCTTTAAAAAGGTACTTATGTACTCTCAGACGGCCGTTTTTAGCGTATATTTTAAAATTTACAAGGGTATTAAAACCTGTGGCATAGCAGTGTCATAGGTTTGTAGTAATGAAAAATCTGAAAACCGTGAATTTCTAGTTCATGTCAGCCTTTAACTGTCCACTGCTGAACATAAGCCTTCCCTAGAAGGGGAGTTTTGCCAGTAGTTGCTATTCTTGCTCTTACTCAGTTATAATTTGTAACGAACCATTGGTATGCGAGTCCGACTCGCACTTAGCCGGTTTTTTTTTGTTTATTTTTATAAATATATTAAATATTTCATCATAAAATTAAATGCCCAAAAATTATATAAAAGACCAAGTTCACTTTAAGTTGATCGTGTCTGGATACCTTTTTAATGTCCATTGCAAAAAGCAAAACATAACTGTCAAATGTATAATTTTTTAAAACATTTCTCCTTTAATTTTGAACATGTATTATATCACCTTTAGTTCACCAATAAAAAAAAAATCATGCAAAGAAAGGTTAAGATATAATATTCGACAACTTACTGTTTCGAAGATGCTTCATGCCCATGCTGGGACGCAGGCTCGTAAGAGTAGTATACCGGTTGTTCATGGATCGGTCCGCTGTATTCCGTGAATCTGTAGACATCGACATTTAAAAAAAAACTGTATTTTACTTAAAAATAGCTTTTGCGTGCTAACAATATCTATATATTTTGGTTGCAATATTTATATACTAATCGAATAACGTTAAAAGTCCGTTATCCAAAAAAATATTGGATAACATATTTGAAAATAGATATCCGACCGATATGAGCGATACTGAAATGTGAGATGACCTTTTTCCGTCATCAATGTCCAGGGAACCCGATATATAGATATCGGATCGGGATCGGTATTATCCCTGCCTACTACTTCGTACATTTGGATCTCAGAAGTGAAAAAAATAATTAAATAGAATATTTCTAGATGATGTATCAGGATGTACATATATCAGTTTTTAAATTAGATCCTCAGCTGAGAAAACTGCATTCAATTTGGTGCAGTTGTTTTTCTATAATGCCGAAACAAACAGCCAGTCTTGTTAAGACCTCTATATTAATTTTTTATTAAATATCTCTTATGTTCAGACATTGTATAGTTATTTTTTTTAATAAGTAACGTAATATAATGGGAAGCAACTGGTTTCTAAGTCCTGTCTTCCTGATGACCTGTGTTTTTTTTTTTTTTGATGGGTGAAAATGGTATGGTAACCCCGCCTGCGCTAACGGGATATGCTGGCGGAGCACCAGTGAAGGGTGTTAGAAGAGAATGAAACCAGGCCAGTTAGCCCATCATGATGAATTCATCAGGAATTAACCATGATAGTTTCCAGGGAGAACTGCGAGTAGGTCGACCTGGATGGGTATATTGCTAGCAATGGGATTCTCAGTCTCCATTACTAACAATACCTTTCCCCCCGATGACCTGTGTTATTTATTGTATGTGTGTATGTACTAGTAGGTACTAGTAATGAATGATAATTGAGGACTAAGCCAGGTTAGTTGACTCGTCGTCATTCTCCAGGAATTAAGTACGTACTTAATGGATTCCAGGGGAGAATGCGTGGAGTTCTAGCTTACAGTGTGTATTTCTAGCAATGGGGTCGCTAGTCCCCTTTTTTAACAGTCCTCCTCTTACGCTTTTCTAGAGGAGAGAAGAAAGAATATCTCGATGTTCTTATAGGAAAAAGATATGACTATTTTTGTGCGGGCAAATTAATAAACGAAATAGGTAATTCCAAATAAAGTAACAAAATTTTGTTGATATTAAAAATTTAACCCATATTTCAACGCGATAAGGTTGAATTTTGTTTGAGACTGTACATAGTATTAATACTATTTCACTAACCTGTCAGTGAGGTGCTTCGTCCCTGTTCCCATTTGTGACAGCAACTTTTCCAAAGTCATATTGTGTAGTGTCACCCGCGAATGTCAAGGTTTGAATGACGGGTGCGCAGGAGCACCGGTGCGTTGTTACCACGCTCTACTTGTTTGTATGCGGGACCTAGCATAGCGGTTTTCACCGTAAATATGTTTTAATAATCGTCGCAGATTTTATTATGTCATATTATCTATGTGTATATAAATGAAAACGAATTGCTAAATGTGTTCTAAGCGTAAAATTCGATAGCGTTGGCCTAGCGATAAGACCGCTTTGTACCTTTTAATCTGTACTTCATGCTACCGTATTTCAGTTGAATTGTTTATATGTTATATTATATATATATATATATATATATATATATATATATATATATATATATATATATATATATGTTTTTGTTGCAATGAAGAGTTAAATAAAAATAAATAAATAAAATCCGAGAACGACTGGACCAATCCAGCTTATTGTTTTTTCAAATACTCGTCGAAGTCTGAGTAAGGTTTTTATAGATTTTTATAATGTAAAAATCCCTTTTTTTCACAGTATATGTGCTGTTTATGGCTTTAAACGACAGTTACTACTTTTCAGCAGTACCATTCAAGCCTTTTGACATCAGCTATTCACTTTCTTGACATTGTAGTTGTTTGGAGGAAATAAATAACAACTAACTTGATTATATTATTGATTTTCATATAATGAGAGAACGACAGCAGAAATGAATGTGAGAAGTAAACGTCGCTGTCATGTCTGTATGTCCAGTGCGAAAGATAGAAAGAGGTGAAATATCTATGTACAATTAAATTAACCTACTTGATGGAAAAGAAAGTAATGATGTTGACAAGTGGCTATGAGATGAATATTTACAATATTTATTTACAGACGCCACAACATATTTTATCGATTATGGTTTAAAGTACTTGACCTCTGATCCATTGTTTTTATTCCTTTATCAGTACGGATTATGCGTGAAGCTATGGAACTAATTAATTATTAATATACGTATTACAGGACCTCAAATGCATTGTAGGAAGTCAGGGGAAACAGGTGGTTCAGGGCTGTTCTTTATAGTAGTCTATGGGAGAGGTCTATGTTCAGCAGTGGACGGATTATGGCTGATTTGATGATGATGATACGTCTGTAATTGATATAATCGAAATAATCATGAAGCTACAAAACCAACTTTTTTTACAATTTAGAATGGCAAACAAGCTGACGGCCCACCTGATGGAAAGTGGTAACCGTCGCCTATAGACATGAGCAGTACCATGGACATAACAGAGTATACTGTTTCGCCCATGATTCCCCCCATGTGTTATCATTCCTGAGGACTCAGGTGTTATTCCTCTGTACCCAGTAAATTCACGCCATATCCCACCCTTCAAACCGAAACACAGCCATGCAAACACAACTGCTTCACGGTTGAAACACGAATGGGACAGAGGTATCCAAGCAAACGACTTTTGTACAAAGTCTCCCTCTGTAAATTATATACCTGTAAACTATCTCTCCAACTGTAAATTGATAACATGCTAATTTTTACCCAAGATTTTTTTCGCCTGATCGGAATGCTTTGACTGATCGGGTTAAAAAATAGTCCATCTTTGTTTATCCAAAATATGGGTATTATGTTACATGCGTACCAAATTTCATGACGTTTGGTTCGAAGCCATTAAAGTGCCAAGTGGTAACAAACTTACATTGATTTTTATAGACGGGCAGTCCTTGATTTACGTCGAACAACGTTTTGATGCTATTCCTTAAGCATACGTCAATTGTTTCGATTTCCGACATAGGAGAATTCACTTTGCATCATATTTAATTATTTTAAGAACTTACTTTTTATAATAAAGTATGTTATCATTCAGTCATTTCATGGCTTGGTATATCTATTACGACCAATCATCTTTAGGGCATAGAGAATAAAAGAGACTTTAAAAAATATTTCTATTTATTTTACAACAATCACAATCACACAGGACGTCCTCAATCACACAAACACATAAAATATACAATACTAACTATTATGTGATAAAAACAGTTAGTTAGTTATATCACACAGAATTATTTTTACATCAGTCGTTAATTTTATATTGAAATTGGCGGAATATTAATTGTTTATACCTATAATACAAACGTGCCAATGGTTTGCAACATTGATTTGGAAGGATTCACTGGACGGGACCATACGGGTTGGATATATCTTTGTTTTCCTACTTATTAACTTCTAAAATAAGTTAAATAAATAAATAATTTAAATAAATTAATACAACACTATGTTCGACGCGCTGTTGGCCGATGGGATATGTTTGAGCACAATACACCTCAGTAAGGCACTATGCAGAATTTTGTAACCGAGTATCGAATTTTGTTTCTTTTTTTCTTTTTTTTTTTAACAAAATTTGATACCAACGCCAATAATGAAATTTTGACTAATGTAGTTCACTCAATGTTCACACTATTTATCGAACCACTTACGATGTGCATTTTGGATCGAATTTTAATAATTTGTAGCAAACTCAGTGTCACCAATATTCTTCGCTTGCTGGTGGTTTTCATACTGGTGTATAAGTTTTGCCAGCGTTATTTTCGCCCTTAGACTTCGTTGCACTGAAGGTACATCTGGCGGCAATCTACGCCCGAGCGACCTCGACGGCCCGCCTCGGTGAACTCATCGAAGGCACCCCCAGATTGTCTCTCCATCACGAAGCTTGCTGCATATCTGTAAAATAAATTTTGATTTAGGACTCATCCCTTGATAATGTTAACGAATACTAATCTGGAGTACTAGAGACATTGACAACTTGAATTTGATTCAAGAGGCTACAGGCAGGAAAAATAGAATCAAGATACTTACGTTCCAAGTTGGCAGAAGATGCTTTTAGGGCCAATATCCGTAGAACACTCGAGGTTTGCATCGCATATGTATTTCTGCAGGCATCTGTCGTCGTTGGTTCCAAAGGACTTCACATAAGTCTTCAGCATAGCGATACCGGCTAACGCAGCGTCACTGACTGAATCCTTGCGGCCCATAGATCGCGCAGTCAGCGACCGATGAGAGAATGATGTCTTCAAAGCGTCCAGGAGGTTCACCACGATGTTGATGAACTGTAGAAAAGAGATAATATTAGGGAAGAATAATGACTTCGGTAAGAGGCTATAAAAATTTCAAGAAACTGTAAAGAAAAGGCAATCGGAAATATTTATGAGTTACCTGACAAAATAACTTATTACATCGTGATACTAAAAAGGAGGGGAAATGGGTTGCGTACCTCTCCAGCCTGCTTTGCCATGGAGGCGACCTGGTCGGGATCTTTTGCACCGAGCACCGTCGACAGTACCGCAGCCAATATACCCTGAAGCAAGCGAGAAGCGACACCGTATCCGTAACCAAACTTTACTATTTACACTCCAAAGTATGGGAATACCTCAACGATTATATTACATTTTCAGATACAGTCTTCATTGACGCGAATCTATGAGGTGATCCCAGGATGTGAAGCAATTAATATTTGTTGTGAATTAAGGTCTCTATGAACTACTACATGGATATAAATATACCTGTTACTGTGAGGGTAACTCGCAAGGTGCTTTACAGATTATACTATCGGAGTGACAAATTGTTCTAAACTATATATAGCTACAGAAATGATTTGTTAGTAGATCAGTATGGATAAATAAGATGCCATTTTTGTTTTCCAGTTTGTACATAGTTTTGTGAAAATGTTTTTATTAGATATATATATAAGTAGGAAGTGTTTATGATGAAGGTTCTAATTGATTGGCATGTATCAAAACATGCATTATGTGATTTAGACGTTTGATATTAGTACCTGCATGGGAGAGGATCCGTTGTCAACTTTGTCGATGCCATCGCTAGAGGCGCCTCCTCCAAGGATTGCCGTCAAGATCTTGAGACCCATGGAAAGAAGGTTAGCCCAGGGGGACGTTGTTGCGACGTCAGTATCCAGATTGTCACTCTTATTGGGTCCGGTATTTCCGGGGTTGAAAAGCATTTGCATTATCATCCCTGAAAACGAATCATGAGCAACACGATTTATATTTTGTTTTGTCCAATTTTGTGTAATTTATCTGAAAATCGCAACAATACAACAATTGTTTGGAGAAAGTTGTTGTATTTAACTTCAAAGATTACATATATTTAATATAATAATATATTTAATGACTACTACACGCTATAATACGGTCAAAATTTCTAACATTTATTTGCTGTTTTCTTCGACGTTAATATTGGCGCCCAACATGGGACAAATTGAAATAATCTTATAAAAAATTGAGTAAACATTTTTCTTAAATGACTAAATTTGACTAAAATTATTATTTGGCGAACTCACCAAGCATGTTGGACCACGAGAATCCACCGTCAGATATAGAATTAGTTTGTATATCTTCGAGATCATCGAGAGCGACTTTCTTCAATGCATTTGGTTTCTCAGCAAATTTACGTTCTTGAGCGACTTCCTGCGGCAACGTGTTACTATAGTACTGTGGATGATTTTGTTGCCTAACATTGCTAGTTGCCTGAAAACAATATGCATAAGAAAATAAATCTAACGTTCTTTTATAACAACTTATTTTAAATTATATAAGAATTTAAACCTATTAAATTATATCATCAAGCAACTGCTTGAATGCTCGTATAATGAGTTCTAGTTGGAAAAGTGAGCAGTAAAATTTCTGGGTATCTATTGTAACTCGAGATCTTCATGCCACAAATAACTGTAACGAACATTTAATGTCTCTGGTCCTGCAATTTGCAATTGAAAATGTTCATGGGCTGTGTTGGTCGATTACCATCAGGCGAATCGTATGTTTGATTCAACCGTTGTATAAAAATATTAATACACACAAGTTGAGGTAAGTATTATTTTAAATTATTTAGCACCTGTGTGATAAGCGGAAGATGTTGCTGTGGATACGCTATCGTGTGGAGGACCATCGACGAACTAATCAGCGCCACGAGCGCCCAGCCTCCGACCTTGGGATGCATCCTGTCAACAAGGAAATATTTCGTAAGTAACTCAAATTATTGAAATATGATGGGTAAGAAATTTTAAAAAAATAAGACACGGTTTGATATATTTTTAATCATCACGTATTCGTCGAGTGAACATTTTTTAAAACATCTACTCCTATTACAACATTAATATATTACGCAACGAACTGAGCTCATCCGTCGTGAATCTTTATTTACTTAAAATAAACACACTTTCTTTTAATTTAATTGTGCTCTCGCGCACTGGACGTCGATTAGAAAGTGTTCTGATGAGTGATTCCCGCAAATTGATCGCTTGCCTTCAGAGTTGTCGAGAAAGTCGCTCGCGCGTCGCGTCCGATGCATTTTTAGAGGATGTCGGACCTCTAATTAGAGGATGTGTATAAAAATAATAGTTCGAAAGTTTACAACTCAAATTCTAGCCTACACCAATTACGTGAGGCTGTTACGTTGTATTTTTGTTCGTATTCCGAGATATTTTTATGACGGCATTATTTTTAAATGGCATACATAAATTTACATCGATAGCTATTCGAATGTTCCCGTTTAGACCTGTCTTTGAAGCAGGTCCATCAATCCGGTATACAAGTATGCGCAGCCGTCAGTTTGTCCGGCCTAGATGCAGTAGGTGACCCGGTCTCTACTAACTGTAGTTCGGATGTCACCTCTCGCACCTGTCTTAATAAGGCGCTAGTTATATAAATTGACGTAAATTTTTATACCACCGTTAGTCACGAGCGTCTATGGACGGTACACTTTCTACGACCGATAAAAGCGAACTATTTACACCTGCTTCTTCGTTTTTGGTCTGACAATTGTTGTGTCACGACATTGGTTGGTCGAATGCATGAAGAATTCTAGGAAGGGCATTACAAATAGTTTTCTCTGTGTACACAATAATAAACAAAACTTTTTAGATATTCCGTGCCGCAAGTATCTGTGTACGAATACGAGGCATGGTGTATTTTTTCCATTTTGTTATTACGATGTTACAAGAGTTATTTATTGACAGCAATCAACCTTCTTCGCCCAATTGATACAACGATAACACCTGTACGTAACTGTTTTTGTCGATCGCCTAACCTTTTTTTGACATCAATACCATGTAGAAAGTTCGAATAGAAATTTACTCGCTAGTCCAAATAGGCACTTTTCCCTTAGGGCAAAAAATGGGGACGCAAAGTAGACGCGGCGTCTATTTAAATCTATGTAATTTAAATAGTTTACTTGTGAGGAAAATTATAATAGTAGGTACATATTATCGTGAAGTGGAAGCGTGTGGGCACGGCGACGCGGCGCGGGCGCACCGGTCCGCAGTGACAGCGCGACCGTCGAGATTCTTTCCGGTGAAATTTGTAGCTGTTGAGACCGGAGAGCTGCGATTGCTTATGTTTTATGTATGCTTTGTTGCTCGGCAATATGCGGCTTATATTGCTATTTATATAAAGGCGTCCGACTAAGCACTTCCAAATGACATACGGCATATGTTTGCAAACGATAATTACATATAAAGATGCCCATTTTGTTGTAGAGAAAGCAGGAAGTAGTTTGTAGTGGCGATTGGAAAACAATTCCGTTTATTTTGACTAGTACTTAATCGAGGTTTGTTCACTGTGATTTAATATTTTTACTTTCTATGTTGTTTATCACGCGACGAACGTTAATGCGATGCGGTTTCATTAAGTGAAGGGCAAATTATGGACGTCTATTCACGGGGTGAAGTGGCATCGACCGGCTGACCCAGTGACCCTGCGCCGGCGCAGCGGCGTGGTGCATCGCGGGAAACCTCACTTTCGATGAACGCGGATCTTGGCGGTGTCCCACATCATGTTACGATAAATATACTGTTTATCAAATTGTATTGCTTTTTTTTTTATAAATTGTAATGCAATTTTGTAAATGGATATTATTATAACTTTTTATTTGATTATATTAATGAATAAGTCAATTGTCGACTTATTTATATAATTTTGACATATATCATACGATTATTATGATAGTGTATACATACATACATACATATAGTAGTAATAGTCTCCAGATATTGACATATTTTACAAAATAATCTTAAATACTTAAAAAAGATTATACGAATTAAAAATACTAATCTATACGTATCTACCTCCAAACGGTAAATACTTTTTTTAAACAAGTAAACGTAAAAATACAGACGAGGGAGAGTCACTGCTAATTTTATACGTTTCTTATATTACTTTATAAGTAAAGCAGAGCACAAGAACAACCCCAGCGAGTGAAAGCAAGCCCTGGTTAGGGTAATATTGTTCTATATCGATGGCCTGCAGAGGCTCAAGTGGCCACTTTCTGTTTGGTTTCCATCGGAAATTATCTGTAGAAAAATGTGTATGGCGAATTTCTCCAACAATTTTCCTACATATGCCCCGCAGTTTCTCTGCCTACATTACCGAGATTATGTTGAGAATGGAAGATAATTTTGTTTATAAACGTCAGTCATGAGCGATCACTGAAATAGTGGAAACGTTAAGAGCAAACTGTACCAATTCGGCTCTATTGTTTTACCTTGCTGTATATTTCTATGTATAGTTTTATATTAAAATACAAGTGGTTTATTTCGTATTTAAAGTTATACTGTTATTATTAGTGAATTTACAGGGTACAGAGGAATAACACCTAAGTCCTCAGGAATGGCAACGCATGGGAGGTATCATGGGCGAAACAGTATACTCTGTTATGTCCATGATACTGCTCATGTCTATAGGCGACGGTTACCATTTTCCATCAGGTGGGCCGTCAGCTTGTTTGCCATTCTAAGTTGTATAAAAAAAAATATAAATTGAAATAAAAAAATTGTCAGCAACAGTACCGAAATTGTTGTTGACATTTTTTTTCTTACATGTTTCTGACAAATTTCTATTATATAAGTGCTCAACAAGAACATAAGTACGTTATATCTTGGCCATTATCGTACTCAATTCAAAGTGTGTTCATCACGATGGGCTAACTGATCTCCTTTTTTATTCTCACTTATTACCCCTCTGGTGCCCAACTAGCGTATACCGTTGCGCAGGCGGGGTTACAATTGCATTAACATTCTCAAAAAAAAAAATGTGCATACCTTTATCTATTATTTTATACTGTTTATGGTCTGTCGTTATTTATCTGTGTTTCTATTGATACTTTTCTTCACGTAAACAAACTTTTTTAGCAGGCATATTAATTTTGTGCTGACCTCCTGGTATGGTAGGTGGGTGTAGGAAATAATAAACAATAATATGTCACAATACGACTCGCACGACCACCCGCCCGGACGTCACCCAGAGGAGTGGCAGGAGCAGGGGGACTTGCAGTCTAAACTTTAATGAATACATCACATTTCTTTTTTTAAACATTAAATAAGGAGTGGTATAATTTTTTTTCGTTACATGAACTGGCATTTATTCTAATTAAAACAATCGGAAGCGAAGTTTGAATTAGCGATGCAATAGTTTAAAATATAGTTTTGCAAAAATTTTTTTTTTTGTGAATCTTGACATTTTTTATGGAGGGTTTCGCAAATTATAAGATCGTATTAAGTAATGTATGAATATTAAATATGGTATCACTGTGTTTATGTATACCTTTATTGTTTACCAACATAGTGATAAGAAATATTTAATTTTAAAGGTAATGTAAAGGCGATCTTATCTCTAATTAGAGATTTTTTCCAGTAAACCTTTTCATGTGAATTAAATTGTTACTGAAAAATAAAAATAGGCAGTCATACGATTTGTATACATTGCAATATAAACATTTAAAATTATTAGCATAAATATATTTGTTAGATAAACATATACAAAATACAGTACAAATTATGTATTAAATACACAAAATCTACAAACCATTTAAATATATGAATATTAGAATAAATAATATATAAACAAATAAAATAAAATAAATATATAATAAATTTGAAGTCTATGTAATAAAGAATAAATAAACAAACTGTGAATATTGTCTGGATTAAAAATCGCGTGGTAGTCCTAATTGTTGAATTTCCTAAAATGTGGTTGAACACAACGATAGCTGGCTCGTCCGTCATGCTCGTGAACGGTTTTTGTTTAGTACACGTGACTTTATAAAATTATAAATAAACATTACAATGGTGATTACAACCATTGTTTTGTATACCTATTTTGTTTTCAAATTAAGTTTCTTGCCATTTTTTCTCTGCAAATACGAGTACCTTTCTCTCTGTACTTATCCATTCTTTATGCCAGGTTGTCTGTAAGAGATTGCTTTTAGCGATACGGCCGCCTTTTAATACAAGGAGTATTTATACAGAATGTGCATATACGCACATTCTGTATATATATATATATATATATATATATATATATATATAAATACTCCTTGACATCTCTACTGTGCGCAATAAAGAGTTTATTATTATTATTATTATTACACTCTGATTTCAGCGGTAAAATAAATTAAAGTGTCTATTAAAAGAGTAAACAATACTGTTTGAATAAAGATGATTTCTATTCTATTAGGCACTCATAGCTTCGAAACTGGACCGCAGTGTAAATGTATAACATTTACTGTGTGAGTGGACGTTTTGCTAGAGGCATATCTTTCTCCTGGCCGGTGTTCCGTGTGTTTTGGTTGTTTTTTCGTCGCCGGTGACCGGTGTAGCATGCGATCCGCTTTCTAACTGGCCACTATCAAGTCTCGTGCGTGTTTCCTTCGCGGATATGAACTGAGTGGCTAGTGTGAGTCGGTAAGGTTTACGTTACGCCTGCGTTTGAGTTGCGTTGATTTTTGTAAAGTTATCAGCGCCTCTAGCGGATGATTTTAGAAAATATTTCTATACAAACTTTTGATCAATCGTTGCAACTTTTATTGTATATACCATTCAAAGGAGTTTTTCATTTTTGACTTATTATTTTTTATCATACGCGTTCAATTTGAATGATTTTTGATCGATAGTGACTATGCCCCTCACTTTAATCACATATGGGGTTTTTCTAACAGAATGGT